GAAAAAACCCTCACAAACGTGTTTATAGGGTCGAAATATACTACCCCTAAAATATTTGCACTTGTTTAAGACTCACCCTGTATACGGATATGATTATTTATATTTTTTTGATAAGGCATATTTTTAGCTACAAGAAAATTATCACTCTGTATAGTGCGCACTCGTACTAAAACAAATAATAAAATATTCGTTATGCTAAAAAAACTGTGCTTAATTAGTACAATCCAAACAATAATAACAAAATATTTTTGTTTTAAAGTTCAAATTTTATCGCAATTATTATTAATCTCAAAACGCTGTATTTAAAAATTGGGCGAATGCGCCAGGAGAATAGTTGTGTATCAACTATGTGTGTTAATTACATTATTTATCTAATAAATTGTTTGAAACTATTTGGTTATGGATTAACGTCACAGATAGTAAAATAAATATTAATAAATCGATTAATTTTACCATCACACCTTTATTAAAATAGAATATTTGATTAGTTTTATTTGACAGATGAAAATAAAGACAGAAAAGTAAAAAACATTATTTATTATCTCATGAATAATAATATTATTGAAGACAGCAACTTAATAATTTGTTTTTAATTAAGTTTTAGATATTATTATAACCTTTCGTCCATAAACCGAATCAAGTACTTGCTACTTGAGTATCGAAGCTCTACCATCAACTTTCACTTGGCTGCTATGGCTATTATTATTCTCATAAAGTTAATGAAAATCTGTATTATTTGTTGATGAGTACTTGAGGTTATCAGATCGGTGTCTAACAAAAATACCCGGTTATTATATTAAACATTCGCGTTACGCTGGAATATATATTTTAGTAGTTATGTTGAAAAAATATAGTGTAGTGTCGTTAAAAATTAAATATTATTGCGTAAACATACCTTTGTGTTTACGTATGGTGGTTTAAACATTTTACGCATTATGTTTTGGAAAAGACAATACCGCTACCAACCTATTGGTTTACCTAATCGTAAGTTTGTTTAAAGAATTTATGAATTATTTATATGTTGTGTATTACATCAATAAACTAATATATTGTTAAATGAAAGAATCTTATAAAGTCGTCATGCCTGATGTTACATTTTACATTACACAAATTTTCTGTTGTATACAGGGTGTGAAATGGTGTAAAAAAAGTTCCTATAAGTATAGGGCGGAAAACGCATATTAAGGGAGTTAGGGGCACTGAAAGGGTGAATTTAAAAAACGCTTGTTTTAAAATTGTAGGCTCAAAAACGAGATAAAATTTCGAAAAAAAATCTTCTGCCATAAATTTTGACCCTAAATCAAATGGCGATACTGAAAAATTATTTGGAAAAGCGGAAAGGGTAGTTTTTGCAAGGGTGGGGGGTTGTTTCGCGAATAACTTTTTTGAGGTTATTTTTTCTGCAACGTGGGTTCATTTTTTGAAAACTACATACTTTTTTCTACAAGAAAGATACTCTTGTTGCATATCGCCCAGAGCGATGGTTTTCGAGAAAATTAAAGTCAAAGAGTTTGCTCTGATGGACTGGTTAATCAACATAATATAAAATATAATCTCTTTGACTGGTTAATCAACATAAACTTATGAAAGTTATGGCGGTTCAAAAGTAACCACGTAGTTATCAAATGATTAATTGAAAAATCAAAATTTCATGATTTTTAAAACATCGTATTGCTTTAAAAAACGAAATAATCCAATTACCAAAATTCCTTATTAAAATAATGCATTCCTTAATTCATTCATAGTAAATGTTCAAAGTGACCACCATTCATTTCAATGTAGACATCTGATCTTTTTCTCCACGATCTGCGTAGATACCCTCTGGAATATCCTTGGTGTTGTCCGAATTTGATTGGAACAATCAATAATGCGTTGCCGTAGTTGCTTTTCAGTATTAATCGGCACTGAGCAAACCAAATTTTTTTAAAACCAAAAAAGTTTATTTCGTTTTTAAAGCAATAAGATGTTTTAAAAATTATGAAATTTTGATTTTCCAATTAATTGTTTAATAACTACTTTTGAACCGCCATAACTTTCATAAGTTTAGGTTGATTAACCAGTTAGCAACCCGTCAGAGCAATCTCTTTGTCTTCAATTTTCTCGAAAACCATCGCTCTGGGCGATATGCAACAAGAGTATCTTTCTTGTAGGAAAAAGTATGTAGTTTTCAAAAAATGAACCCACGTTGCCAAAAAATAACCTCAAAAGAGTTATTCAAGAAATAACCCCCTACCCTTGCAAAAACTACCCTTTCCGCTTTTCCAAATAATTTTTCAGTATCACCATTTGATTTTGGGTAAAAATTTATGGCAGAAGATTTTTTTTCGAAGTCTTATCTCGTTTTTTAAGTCTACAATTTCAAAACCGTTTTTTAAATTCACCCTTTCAGTGCCCCTAACTCCCTTAATATGCATTTTCCGCCCTATTCTTATTGGAACTTTTTTTTACTATTTTTAGGAGTACTATCACCCCCCGATTTTTTTTACACCATTTTAATGTAAAAAAGTACTTCAGTAATTTCAGTAGATTTATTTCAAATTGTCGTCAAAACAAAAAAATACAGATATATAGGTTTTCTGTTTTTTTTTTGTAAAATAACTAAATTTATTATATCAGGAACACCTAGTTGTAGTGTCACAGAAACGCGCATTGTACCGTTGACAGACTTTTTAGGAGTACCATCACCCCCCGATTTTTTTTACACCATTTTAATGACACCCTGTATACAGGGTGAGTCTTAGATAGGTGCCAATATTTTCAGGGCTGGTAGATCTCGATAAAATAAACATATTTTCTCTTTGTCGTTTTTCAAATAAGTCCAAAATAACCGAGTTATTTTGCTTATTCTTTTGAGAACCATTGGATCTTTCCTGGACTTTCTTTCTTGTAAATTTAATTTACTACCTATGTTGCCATATTATCAGAAAATTATATTTTTTAACTAAAAAAATTTCCAGAAATATTTTCAAAAAATTCTAAATTTTCAAAAAAAATAAATTTGCCTAAATAGTCGTGTTTCTGGGGTCTAAATATACTACCCCTAAAAATATTTGCACAGGATGAGTCTTAAATAAATGCAAAAATATTTTTAGGGATAATATATTTCGACCCTAGAAACACGATTATTAGTTTTTTTTCGCGAAAAAAATTTGAAAATTTGAATTTTTTTTAATTTTAAATTAAAAAACATAACTTCTTCATAATATAGCTACATAGGTAGTACATTAAATTTACAAGAAAGAAAACCTAGAAAAGAACCAGTGGTTTCGTATATTTGGTACCTATTTGCGTTCTTTATATGTCTTTTTTTCAAAAAAATCTAAACAAGGTGTTCTCATTATGTATGCATCTTTCATGTGCCCTTCATCCACGTTATTTATCTTTGATCTCTTGATAAACTGTCACCTCTAGATTGTTATGATCATCTCCTTTGTTCTGGTGACAACAGTACTACTTTTTCCTTCTTTTGTCTAGTAAATTTTGAGATTGTTTAGTAATATAATAAACTAGCGTGTACCAGCGACTTCGTTCGCGTCGAATTAATCATTTTTAATCATCAGCAAGAATTTCCATTAACATACAAACTGGATAAAATTTTCTCACATTTATTTCAGCATGAGAAAAAACAATATGACAAAATTATTATATAACTTGGTAATATTTGAGGGGTAGTAATATAAAATATACGTAAATGAAATATACGTGTTTCATCTCGTTGGAATTTGATTACCAAAAATAAGCTTTATACGTCAAGCAGTTTAAGCAGAATCGTGGTTAATCAATTTACCAACTTTTTGAAACACCGTGTATGATTTTTTAAAAAATTTCAAAATATGTAAAAAAAAACAAATAAATGATGCTTGTCCAAGCGTTTTCCCGAAAGACTAACCGTTTTTTAAATAACAACTATTGTAATATTTGAGGGGCGTTTTCACCCTCTTGAAATTTGAGATTCGAGAAACCCCTCCTTATCGAACCTCTACACCCCACAGTCAATCCGTTTGCCAAAAATCAGCTTTAAACGTCAAGCAGTTTTAGCAGAATCGTGATTATTCAGTGGTCATATTTTATGAAACACCCTGTATAAATTTATAAAAAATCTTAAAATATGTAAAACAACAAAATAAAATATACGTGTTTAAGAGTTTTTTCGAAAAACTCACCGGTCTTTAAATAAAAAATATTTTAATATTTGAGGGATAGTTTCACCCCCTTAGAATTCGAGTTTCAAAAAATCCCTTCTTATCGAACCTCTACAACCTAAAGTCAATCTGTTTTCCAAAAATCAGCTTTTTACGTCAAGCACTTTAAGCAGGATCGTGATTAATCAATGACCTGATTTTTCGAAACACCCTGTATACATTTTTAAAAAAATCTTAAAATATGTAAAAAAACTAAATAAAATATACGTGTTTAAGCGTTTTTTCGGAAACTTGACCGTTTTTTAAATAAAAATATTGTAATATTTGAGGGGTGGTTTCACCGAAAAATTCCTTCTTATCGAACCTCTACACCCTAGAATCAACCAGTATGCCAAAATTGAGCTTCTTACGTTGAGTGGTTTGAGCAGGATCGTGATTAATCAGTATGTCAGTCACTTAAGGATTTTATATATTAGTATAGATTTATCGAAAAATATCCTTATGGATTTTTCGCCACTGCACTGCAAGAAAAATGCTACTTGTCAGAAGTTGTGTTTACAGTAATAAAAATTTGCCTAACAAAAAAAAAATGCTTAACGTTTCGGAAAGTTTTCTCTTTCCGTCGTCGAAAGCAAAAAAATATAAAGAATCAAGAAAAAAACTATTTAAAATATTTAAATTGAACTATTCCGAGAACACTTTACTTTTTAAAACAGATACGTCTACAAGAAATCGTTGACGTTCTGTTAAAATGACATTATATTAAGTTAAAAAACAAAATAAAATATACGTGTTATATATTATTTAGTACAGATTTAGATTGCAATTCTGTAATATAAGTATTTCTGTTTTTTTCAGCTCCAACTTTTGGAAAACGTCACAGCCAAGTACTCATCTTGTTCGCACTGGTGTTTCTAGCTTATGGAATCAGAGTAACCCTTTCTGTAGCTATTGTGGCTATGACTACACCGTCAGCTAGCAGCAATCCAAATATACCAGTAAGTAATTCTTATGAAATCTTAAAACCTTATTAAAATTCACTGAATTCAAAATTTTATAATGATTCCACAAAAATTCTTAATTTCTAGACGTATCCAGATTGGAATGATAAAAGTATTGTATTATCAGCATTCTTTTGGGGATACATAATACCACAAATTTTTGCTGGCTGGATCGCAGGACAATATGGTAAGGAAATTCTAATATATTTGGCAGATTTATAAAACATTCTTTATAATGTTAAGTTTTTAATTTAAAATTGTAAATTTATTTATTTAAGACACTGTAGGTCCTTCTCCTAGATGCCTTCTCTGTTGAAGATGGCGATTAATATGGTATATGACTCTCTTTCCAGAGCTTGGTGAATAAGGGTGTTTTCGTCGGTGTGGGTCCAATCTCTTATGTTACGTAGCCATGATTTCTTTTTCCTCCCTATGCTACGTTTTCCATCGATTTTTCCTACTATTATGAGCTGTATTTCTTCATATTCTGAGTGCGGCATTATATGTCCAAGGTAGGAAGTCTTTTTGATTTTAATTGTGCCTGTTAGGTGTGCACGAGTTCTCATTCTGTTTAAAACTTCACAATTTGTTGTTCTGGAGGTCCAACTTATCCTCAGCATCCGACGATACATCCACATTTCAAACGCATTAAGGCGTATGATGTCTCTAGATGTATTAGCGTCCATGTTTCGCATCCATATTGAAGTAGGGGCCATATATCACATTTTAATGTTCTTAGCCTCGTTGATATAGCTGTTCTCGGATGGCATAAGAACGTCCGCATGTTGAGGAAACCAGCCCTAGCTGGCTGTTCACTTCCCTTCCCAAGTAAATATATTTCTGCGTGGTTTCGAGATGGATGCCATTTACCACTGTATGTACCTTGTATGTTTTACACTGTATCTACCTTGGTGTTATGTTCTTGATAATGTCTACGCGTAAGCAACAAAAACTACTTCAGTAGTTTCAGTAGATTTATCTCACATTGTCGTCAAAACAAAAAAAAACAGAAAAACTAAAGAAAAAAAAACTATTTAAAATAACTAAATTTATTATATCAGGAACACCTAGTTGTTTGTCACAGAAACGCGCATTGTATCGCTGACAGATTTTGAGAAATAAGATTTTTGAAAAAACTCCCATTTATAATTTAGTATTTGAGTTTTTCCTTTTTTTAGGTCCAAAATGGTTTTTGGTCGGTTCTATGACTGTATGTGGTGGCATGTGTATAGTCCTACCCGCCATGGCAGCCCTTTTAGGGTCCCTGGGTGTGATGGTCAGCAGAGCAATACAGGGATTGTGTCAAGGATTTATATTTCCCAGTGTCCATTGTGCTTTAAGTCGTTGGGTACCACCTGAAGAAAGATCTAGATTAGCGACACTAGTATATGCAGGTAAACATAATTTTATTTTATCGGATTTAGCATTACATCAAAAAACTTAGTTGTGGCTAAAAAATAGACTCTATTGAAAGTATAAAGTGTAATACTTAGGGTTTAATTGAATAGTCTTCATAATTTTTCTGAAAAATATGTAATAAAATTGAATTTCGGCTAATTTTTGTCTCGAAATAAAGTTAAGTTATTTTATTTTAGCTGGTCCTCTTGGTACAGTTGCTGGTATGTTGTTAACTGGAGTGATCTCAGCTAGTAACTTAGGTTGGCCCACTGTGTTCTACCTCTATGGAGCAGGATCCATCGCATGGGCTGCTTTCAGTGCACTCTTCAGTGCGAACAGTCCCTCAAGTCATCCGAGCATAAGCGAAGCAGAGAGGTACTTTATAGAGAACAGTTTAGGACACACTGAAGATAAACCGGTAAATTTTTACAATTACTTAATTATACAATGTTTCTTTTATACAATTAAAGTCCCAAATATCAATGCGGGAACAGAGATCGGAGTATTTGGGTCGAGAACTAAATACTTCGAACCAAGGGCACCTACTCTAGCATCCTACAGGCAGAAATCGAAAGATGCGTACCACTTATTTTAGATAGCAACTATCAGAAACAAGAAATAACCATCTTATCTGATAGTCAAGCAGCGTTAAAAGCGATCAACTCAGTATCAATCAATTCGAAATTGGTCAAAGAATGCATAGAGAAGCTGAATAAATTAGGCAAAGAAAACAAAGTTCTCCTACTCTGGGTGCTTGCTCACCAAGGGATAGAAGGCAATGAAAAAGCAAATGATCTAGCTAGAAAAGTAGCGAACAATCCACTAACTGGACCAGAACCGTTCTGCTTCCCAAGTAGTAACCTAAAAAGCGGAACTCAAGAACTTGGAAGACTCCATCCGCAACCTGGAATGGCAATCTTGCAACGGTCTAAGATACTCTAAGAAGTTTCTGAGGTCTTACGACCAAGAAAAATCAAAAATCTTCCTGGAGTTAAGTAAGAACAATCTTCGGATTGTCACGGGGTTTTTAACAGGACACTGTCTCCTCAATAAACACCTCAGTAGGCTGAAGCTGAGAAACAACGGCGAATGCAGATTCTGTGGGGAAAATGGGGAAACACCAGAACATCTCATCACTGAGTGCGCCGAGACGACAACCATTCGTGCCATGAACTTTGGTACGACTGATATTGGAGATGGAGAAGTATCCTCTGTAAATCCGTCCCAGATACTGGCTTTTATCAGAGCCTGGGACTGTGTGATGAGTTATAACTCGAGAAAGGGGAACACAATAGATCTGTAAGGTCACAGTTCATAACCCCCCTCTCACTCATTCTAAATTCTAAAATTCTAAGGTCACAAAATTATTACAAGTAGGCATTTATCTTTTTCTCTCACCATCCTGCTTTCTTTGCAATTATTGAAGACTTTATTACCTGCCTGCAGGCTCTATTTACTGTATATCGCTTCCTGTTGTGCTCTATTCGGTGTAAGGGTGATGGAGAATAAGATAAGTTCTTAATAGTCCAAGAACCAATAATGAGATTTTAACGCAGGGAATGAAACACTGTATCAGAAAAAAGAACATTGTTTATTTATTTTTTAATTTCCTGATTTTTTTACCTTGTTCTTTCGTATTCTTTGTTTCATACTTTATCGTATTTGTGAACAATAATATAGAACAATCCGAAATATCTTCGAAGGTATTTGATCTTATGTATGGATACTTAAAACGGACATTATAAGGAAACTGCGCAATAAAAAACAATGCTCAATGGAAAGAAATATGCTGGGAATAACCAAGAAAGACCGTAAAAGAATAGAGTGGATACGACAAAAAACCTAGGTAATAGATGTCATCCACAGAATCAAATCCCTCAAATGGGCAGGACACCTGGCAAGAAGAACGGAAAACAGACTGGTCCACAGAAATTACAGCATGGTATTCACCAGGAATTAAGAGACCTAGCAGAAGACCAAACCTGAGATGGGACCATGATATTAGAAAATTAGCAGAGATAATTTGGGCCCGCACAGCCAACAATAGAAAACAATGGGCCCAACTAGAAAGAAAGTTTTTAAATATATTAGGGAGAACCATAATTGGAATGCATTGCAATTGGTGCAAAACTTGACCCAAAATGGACATTCTTAGAAATGACAAATCAAGGCAGCTCTATAGTACGTTTAAGAACAGTTTTGTCGTTCTGTTTATATATGTTGTCACTCCATTTTGTGATAGATTATATGGACAGTTGGCAATATTCAGGTATAATTATTCTTGTGCTTCTAAGAATGTTATTATTATGGGATATTGCAAAAGGTCTTTAACCTAATTTGCATGTTTCTGTTCAGTAATTCTAAAGATTTTGTTTTGGAATACCTATAACCAATTTTTTTCTTTCTTTTCAAACCAATAAAATTTGACATTTATTTTTAGAAACCTAAAACTCCTTGGACAGCAATTTGGACATCCGTACCACTGTGGGCCATCCTTATCACCCACTGCGGTCAGAATTGGGGTTTCTGGACATTGATGACTGAAATACCAACTTACATGAGCAAAGTAATGAACTTCGATATCAAAGCAGTAAGTATGAATCCAATACGTGTTTCTAAAAAAAACATTTTTCTATCAGCAATATCAATTTTTGTTTGCAGAACAGCGCTCTATCAGCATTACCGTATTTGGTACTGTGGATTCTGAGTTTCTTCATGAGCTTTGCTTCTGATGCTTTGATAAATAGGAATATCTTGACATTGGGACATGCGAGGAAGTTATTCAACTCAATAGGTAAACATTTTTAGTAAATGATAACTTATTATTTGATCTATTTCAACTGCTTTACAAACATTAAGTAGCTTTAGTCAATTGTTGTCTCCTTGCAGGAAAGAGATTTCAAGTGTTATAGTCGACTGATCTTATAAGAAATTATAGATTTAATAAAAATGTGCAATTTTGCATAAACCTGTTCCACTTTTTTGTGGAACGAAAGATGCTGTAAACAAAATTTTTATAGCCCACAGGGGTTTCCCAAACTGGAAAATTTTCAAAAAGACTCTGTACCTCAGAAACGAAGAGGGCTATGCAAATTTTGTTTACGGCATCTTCCATTTGACAGAAAAGTGGTACAGGTTTGTGTAAACCGCACCCTTCTATCTTCACTAATGACGGAGATACCGTGTGATTTCAACTAAAATGGGACATCCTGTACAGGGTGTCATCCTGTACATAAGCCCTCAGAAACTTCTTCGAGTGTCTTAGACCATTGCAAGATTTCCATTCCAGGTTGCGGATGGAATCTTCCTAGTTCTTGAGTTCCGCCTTGAGTTGGTTACCACTTGGAAAGCAGAACGGTTCTGGTCCAGTTAGTGGAGTATTCGCTCCTTTCCTAGCTAGATTATTTGCTTTTTCATTGCCTTCTATCCCTTGGTGAGCAGGCACCCAGTGTAGGAGGACTTTGTTTTCTTTGCCTAATTTATTCAGCTTCTCTATGCATTCTTTGACCAATTTCGAATTGATTGATACTGAGTTGATCGCCTTTAACGCTGCTTGACTATCAGACAAGATGGCTATTTCTTGTTTCCGATAGTTCCTATCTAAGATAAGTTGTACGCATCTCTCGATAGCGTAGATTTCTGCCTGTAGGATACTAGGGTAAGTGCCCATTGGTTTGGAGTAATTAGCTCTCGGCCCAAACACTCCGATCCCTGTTCCCGTATTGGTTTTGGAAGCATCAGTATACCAAGTTATGGTATGGTCTTTTAACTGCTGGGCAAGCGTTTCGCTCTTCCAATCCTTCTTATTGCTACATTGACATGTTTGTCAAAGTTGTATGTTCTTGGCATATCGTCCACTGGGAGTTGCAGGAGTGGTATTTCCTTTTTGAGGGTGTTCCAAGCCCCTGATCTGACAATTCTCCCAGTACTAATTCCGTTAGTGACCATTCTAATCATTGTCGCATTGGCACATTTACCAATGACAATGTGCAGTGGTGTTAGATCTAGAATGACCTCCATTGCTGCTGTTGGACAGGTTCTCATGGCTCCTGTGATGCAAACTATAAATTGCTGGAAATTATTTTGAAGTTTGTAGAACGACCGCTAGGGGGCGCAACTGCAACAGAAAATAAGAAAATGGAGTTTTTACACAATTTTGCCTAGATAAGGTGTACTATAAGTAATAACTTCATAATCTTCAGTAAATTTTGAATATTTTTTGTTAAAGCCATTTTCCCCTATATATCAAAATAAAGTGGTGGGGGAAGGTTAGATCTGTTTTTATTTAAATATTAATAACTCTGGACTGGATGATCGGAATCCAACAAGCGAGGGCTTGTTTAAAAGAGCGTTTCTTACTCTATGTTGTGCCATATAAACAATAATAATAAGCTTTTGAACGTAGACGCTAGTGGGCGTTGTCTTACAATTTAACAAACATTGCGCGTTTTTTCCAAAATATTAAATGCAATAGTATATGTAATTTTACCTGATAGTAAAGAGTAGTAAAAGCTTAAAAAGCCAGCGAAAACCGATAAAAAGATATTAGCAAAATTATAATAAATACCAAAAAATAGGCCCTTAATTACCTTATATTTACAACACGGTATCAGTAGCCCTCTTAATTATGCCCATTATAACAAAAAAAATAAGATAGAAATAGTTAGTTTATTTTAAAATCGACGAAATACCAGAATACAATACCAGAGGTTATTAATATCTAATAATTAAGATATAAATAACAGTGAACAAGAAACGATGATTCAGTGAAGTCATATGGTAGGCTTTGGAAAAAAGTTGCTTTTGACGTAATAGTATAAACGTCAAATTGTTTTTAGATCAACATTTTGATAGTCTTATCAGCGTTTTTTATCTTTTGATTGCTTTTTCAAAATGCCAACAACTTCAACTATTTCAAATAATAAAAGCATTTTGAAAAAGCAATTAAAAGATAAAACGCTTGATCTAATAACAATTTGATGTTTAGTGGGACACCCGGTACATAACATATATTATATACGAAAACTTATCTATCTAATATGTTACAATTTTTCCAGGATTGGTTATACCTGCGTTAGCTCTATTCTTTCTGGGTATTACACCAGGAGATGAACCAATAAGGGCAGTAGCTTTGCTCGTTGTAGCCGTTGGATTCAACTCCGGGGTTTACTGTGGTTTCAACGTCAACCATGTTGATATATCACCTACCCACGCAGGTACTTTGATGGGTATTACCAATGGTATATCGAATATCTTTGGAATTGTTGCACCACTTATGGTACAGTTTATAGTAACGAACGAGGTAGGTTGTGTGGAAAAATGTTCAGATATGTTATATTTTAATATTTATTTTGTTTAGACTGATGCTACTCAATGGAAAATAATATTTTTCCTCACAGCTATCATATACGTAGCCACCAGTTTAGTTTTTAACTTCTTTGGATCTGGAGAAGTACAAAAGTGGAATGACAAACCAGAAGATTGAGGTAATAATCATATTTACACACACTGGAATTTCATATCTATTAGAGATACAAAATAGCTACTAAAAATGCGAAGAAAAAATTTAAAAATTATGTCTTTTTTCAGATTGATAGAGTATAACGCAGTAGGAAAGAACTTCAACCAAAGAATAAAAACCTACAAAGAATCTGTGATAACATCTTAATATATAATTACGATATATTAATTAGCAAAATAAAGTGGAGGCACAAAAATGCGGTACTTATGACAAAACGATTTCAAAATTTTCCAGTCTGTTTTATATCATGATTCTGAAATTCAAAAAACATTTAAGTGTGAAATATTCAATATAAAATACTTTTTGAAAAGTGTAATGTAAGTCTTTATAACGAGAGAATATACAATTTTCACAGAGTGTCATCCTAAAAAAATTGCCGTTAAAACAATCTACAATAGAAATAAGATGACAGACAATAGTTTTATTGTCACTATTTGGGTATTCTCTTGCTGTACAGACTGTCCATAGGTATAATATTTAAGAATAAATAATTGTAACGAAAATGTATGTCTTAGAGGAAAAAAGAAATGTTAATATATTTTTTGTATGTTTGTATCTAATTTGAGTGTTGTATTGTAATAGCAAAATGTATATGCTGGTTTCATATACAAACTTCAATGCAATTTGTATAAAACGATTACCTACGTTAAGTTATCTTAATTTAATTTAATAATTTAATTTAATTTGACGGAAATGTACCATTTTTAAATAAGAATAAAAAAATAATTTATTTTGCGTGCATACTCTATTTTACATCTAAGAATCACCCACTATCAGATTCATAAACAAAGATTTGAAAATCATTGTTAAAGGATACGAGTTACATAATTAATGTGAAACAACTTATAAATCTTATCTAACCCGTTTAATTAAGAATTGTAAGATTTTATTACCATAAAAAATTGATATCGCATAAATTGATGTTTTCTTATCATTTTTTTTATCAGATTAATATAAAAACTTGCAAAGGGTGTTCCCTAAATATAAGAGAACGTCTTAAGGGTGATCCTTGAAGTAGTTTTATGAAAAATAAAAACTCAAACATTTCAGATCGAAGACAAGGAATATAAACTTTATAAAAATAATAACCAGTGGTCAAAAATATACCCTATTTCACCATAATACACCAACACGTTTTACTTTTACAACTGGATGATAGCATCAGCGGCAGACAGCTTTTAATATCGCTTTAAAAATGTTATGTCCTCTCCTGAATCTGCCAGCATTGTGCGCCGGAAACAATGATGTGTCACATTGAGCGGTCGAAGTTTTGCGTACTACTTACGAAATACATGTAAGAAATTGATACCATCTATTGGTCCCTCAGTAATCGTAAAGACTCTTGGAAAATGAGTTTTTGTATTCGGAATCTTCACACTAATAAATGACTGACAATCTTTAATGGCATCTACGGTCAAAAACGTGATTTCTTCCCTCCTACATGCTCCAAATACTCCAACGATTAAGACAAATTTAGCTAACAGGAATTCTTTTTCATCGGCTTCTTTCATAAAGCGTTCTATTTCCAGTTTTGTAAATACTTTTGATTTCTTTGCCTGATATCCGGAAGCTTTTCTTTTTAAAAATGCAATAAGAATTGTGAATTTGCTAATATCTACGTTTCTGTTCAGGTAAATCGTGGTGCGGAGCATCGAATATTTACTCCACAGACTTGACGGCTTTAAGGCAGTGAATAACTTCAGGAAATAGGCTAGCAATACCTTTTCTGTGAAATTGTCAATATGTTTTTCTTTGACCCAGGTTTCAAAGTTGTTGTAGGTGGTCTCGTATAAGTTTTTCGACTTCCCGGGCACTAACGTGGATAGCGCAATTTCAGCAGCTTGTTGAATATCCAAAGACTCGTCATTATCACTCATTTTTTTACAAAACTTTGTAGGAAATACGGCGACGTTTGAACCTGCAAACTTTGTCATTAAACAATGTATAGACAATGCCTTAGGAATCGATTACCAGAACATTTTAAAAAATGTTTAAAAATAAATAATAATAATAGCATGAAAATCTAAAATTATCCGCTTTCACAAAAAAATCTTGTATGAAATTCGTTGCATTTTGCGTCCCGTGTTTAAAACACATTCATTTCGCAACTTGTTACATAAATAGCTATATTGCATATTATAATAATTATTTAATTATCCATTAAGAGAACATAGGATGGTGGATTTTGTCCAGATTTCAGAGTTCACTTGTCCGGAATTTCCAAAAGCCTTTATGGAAACCCTACACTAGAGGTACCAGAACACCTACGATATTTTATACACAACTACATTAAAAATTAAGAAATTAGCCAGACGTAATAGTACATTAGTACCAACCAAGAAAAAAAATTTAAGTGTATGAAAACAAAAGTGTTAGTTACTATAAAGTTAAGGACCACTCCAAATACTATCAAATTGGCGTCATCAATACTCAATTAAATCTATAGAGAAAAATGTCTTGTATTTCAAAAGAAGTATTTAATTTAAGTAAATAAAATACATATCGATCTTATCTTACGTGTGGGGTTTTAATATTATTTTAATTAAGTAGGTAATATAAGAATACTGCATTGGAGGAATAAGATTCATTCTCTTCTCGATTCTAGTCATAGTCAAATATACTTTAATGCAACCAAAAGAAATAGTGTTATAGTTTAAGGAAACTTAATAAAATTAATAATTTGAAAATAATATTTTAGGCTTAAGAAGCAAATAAATATATAGGCAAAAACAAAATGGTTTCAACAAAGAAAGTTTCTATAATTGGTGAAATATATGATAGTGATTTAAAAAATACAAAACGTAAGTAGAAGCTAATATACAGGGTTGTTCACCACATACGACACGGAGTTTTGTAGCTAAACGATTAGATTTTTACAAATTGTAAATTTTGGGTTCGTTGAAGAACTATTAGAGCCACAATTTAAAAATATTTTTACAAGATACAGAGTGTCCCAAATAAATAAAAAATATCAAAGTTGTATTTTTTTAAATGGAACACCCTGTATATTATTACATTTTTAGTTTATACGATTAAAATAAAGGTAAATTTGATTAAGGTTTATTATACTTAAACCTTACCGTTTTTGAAATATTTTCAATTTTGTGAAATTGCAGTATAAATTTTAAGGCTTCATTTCTCCGAGGGTATCAAAGTTTTTAATACTAAATATTTACTGAAGTTTACTTAATGATCAGTTATTGCGTTGCAATAATAAAAGTTATACTACCTTATACAGAGTGTCTAAAAATTTATTTTAAATAATTACTAGGTTTAAACGGCAATAACTTGTTTAATTTAAATGGAACACCCTGTATATTTTATGAATATCAAATACACAATTTAATTATCTATCAAAATGTATTATACCACTTTTTACCTATCCTTGCAAGTTTTCGTAGAAAATGCATTTTCTTATAATTTAGACCTCATTTATCAATATACCCATGGAATATTTACATTTTAGATTGTTTTTAAAACAACAAATGTACAAAATGTACAGGCTAGTAATATTATCGTTTTTAGTAAAGCGATAATATTACTAGCCCATTTGTATGCAAAAAGAAAACTATTTAAATCTTTATAAAAGAGTATACCATTAATTAAATATACCACTAGTACTTCCGCCCAAATACTAATTAATTACATACTTAATTGTGTTCGTTAATAATTTATTCTAAATAAATGTGGATTTGAATTAGAAATCAATATAATAATAAGTTATGAAAATGAACGTTTCTGTTGTTATAAATAAAAATTTGTCAAAAAATGAAATATCATTTTTAAGGTGTTAGTTTTTTTACCACACTGTCTAATACACATACATAATTCAGTTTTTTAGTATTTGGAGCAATTATTATTAATCAACGCAAACAGTCAATTAATGTAGTTTGAATACTAGAATCATATTAATTGGTCCTCTTTAACAAATATTTGAACAGTTTTTTTTTATTTTTTAATGAAATAAACGAACTATATCGACAATATTAGTATCTGTACTATTTAAAAATTTAGTACATCTTTAAAAATAATCTAAAATGTCAGTATTCCATGGGTATGTTGATAAACGAGTTCTAAATTACAAGAAAATGCATTTTCTACGGAAACTTGACGAGATAGGTAAAAAATGGTATAATACAATTTTATAGACAATTAAATTGTGCATCTGATTCTCGTAAAATATATAGGGTGTTCCATTTAAATTAAACAAGTTATTACCGTTTAAAGCTAATAATTATTTAAAATAAATATTTAGACACTCTGTATAAGGTAGTAAAATTTTTATTATTGCAACACAATAACTGATCAATAAATAAACTTCAGTAAATATTTAGTATTAAAAACTTTGATACCCTCGGAGAAATAAAGCATTTTAAATTTATACTGCAATTTCACAAAATAGAAAATATTTTAAAAAAGTAAGGTTTAAGTGTAATAAACCTTAATCAAATTTACCTTTATTTTAATCGTAGAAACTAAAAATGTAATAATATACAGGGTGTTCCATTTAAAAAAAAATAAAACTTTGATATTTTTTATTTATTTGGGACACTCTGTATCTTGTAAACATAATTTTCTTCAACTGGAAGTTATTCGTTTTTTCAAACCCGCTACTTCAAGCATATCAAAACGTTTAATAAGTTCATAGTCACTAGGTTCTTTAATATTTTTTTCTCTTGCACGCTTAACTTTTGCTATGACTTCATTATATTGCAAAAATGAAAAACAAGCACTGTTACATTTTTGCGAGTAAGAAATACCTAAGCGAATTTACGCCAGACATCTGTCAACGTCGAAAAGATATTTCAAATGGCCCTGGAAGGAGAAAGTGGAGGAATTAAGATTAACGGAGTTTCAATTAACAATATTATATATATATATATATATATATATATATATATATATATATATATATATATATATATATATATATATATATATATGCAGATATGCAGATGATACGGCAATACTAGCACCAACTTTAGAGGATCTCCAGCAAATAATAAATAAGATAGGGGACATGGGAAATCATTTCGGTCTTAAAATCAACGCTGCCAAGACCAAACTTATGGTAATAGGACGCCAGCCTACAATCAACACCGCATTGACCGTGGATGGAAATATTATAGAGCGAGTTCTACGATTTAAATATCTGGGTGCCATGATCAATGAACGACGAGACTGCGATGAGGAAATTAAACTTAGAACGAATTTTGCACAGTCAACATTTTTTAAACTTAAAAACTTCCTATTAGCACGCAGTCTCCCGCTAACACTTAGACTACGGGTAGTAAAATGCTACATATGGCCTATCTTACTATACGGCGTAGAAACCTGGTCTCTCAAGGCTAGAACTCTGAACCGCATCGAGGCTTTCGAAATGTGGACTCTCCGGAGACTCTTACGTGTGCCATGGACCGCACATGCCACCAACGAAGAAGTTTTAAGAACTGCAGGCTATGAACGAGAAATGCTTAACATAGTTAGAGAAAGAAAAGTCTCATACCTCGGCCATATCCTTAGAGGAGACAAATATTACATTCCTAAGCTGATTCTACAAGGAAAAATAGAGGGACGGCGAGGCCCAGGAAGAAAACAACATTCCTGGCTAAGAAACATACGGGATTGGTGTAACATCAGCGACGCAGCCACCATATTTCGAAGAGCCAAAAACGGCAGTCTACACATTGTATGAAGAGTACAGACAATCGCCAACGTGCGGCTAAGCACAAGACACAGGAAGAAGAAGAAGATCTGTGAACGTTGCCAACGTTTAGCCTAATTTAATATTATCCTTATATTGCCTATTATTTAACTTATCTTTATTTATATTAATCTTTGAAAATTATTTTTAAGTTTAAAAATTCGCCTGTTTTTGGCGTAGCATTAACACAAAATCAAAAAATACCAATATTCTCTTAACTCTTCTTAACTGTATCAAAATATGTATTACTGTATTATTGGACCACCCTTTTCAATGCTGGCGCAGAAAATTGTAATAAAAGAGGAATAATAATTAACTACAATAAATAACAAATTTGGAACTCACCATAATTCACTTTTACATATAGATAATACTCAGCATTCAACTAACATAGAAGCCAAAGTTCGAATAGACAACATAGAAAGTTATGACACTAAAAATATAGGACCTCGAATTGGTACAAGACATGTTTTGGTTGTTTTGATGTTTCTCTGTATAACAGTTGGTTTCACTATGAGGACGAATCTGTCTGTAGCTATAGTAGCTATGACAGATAACACCACATCACCCAATCCTGACGTTCCGGTAAGAATTCATATATAACTTTCTATAATTATAAAATCTTTGCATGGTATATACATAATAATATATAAAGAGTTTGTTAATTGGCAAACTTTAAAATGTTTTAAGTATGCCCTTTAGGAATCCATTTCACTAGTCCGAAAAAGTAGCAAAATAAACGTTTTGGCATTTAACGTTTTATGTAAAACTGGCTAGGTATTTCTACACAAATGAGGAAGAGAATTAAAGATAAAGGATTATACAATATCCGTACTGTAGCACATTTTTAGGCAACTTCTTTATTTTTAAGATTTTGACCAACAAAATATGCGTTATGTTTGGACTACATTTTCTCGAAAATAAAGACATAATTTAAAATTCCATTACAATACGGAAATAGATTGAAGTTTTGTGATTACAGTGATATATAATTTATATAGTTTTGTAAGAAATCGCTCGCTATTTTATGGCAAATGCTGAAGCTCTGCAAACCTTAATCAAGCGCCTTAATCAAAACCAGTGTGTTTGGAATTTTGGGTATGGCTTAACACGACAGGATCGGGCTAAGCCTTAGGCAGATTTCTGAAATATAATATAGATTTCCTTCGGCCACACACCCGCTTTACCCGACCCCTGCGAGCGACCTTAACAGTACAGCGTAATTGACTCTTAAAAAAACATAGACACACAGGAAACACCAAGATCTACATCTTATTCTTTTACTTTGACTTTGAGTCTAATTTTGAACTACAACTAAAATAAATAACTGATATATGTTACTGTTATCACATGATAACCAAATAATACACTACATTAATATTTTTTCTATTTTTTAGACGTATGACTGGAAAAATACTAGTGTTATTTTATCGTCATTTTTCTGGGGTTACATAACCCTCCAAATCTTGGCAGGCCACCTGGCCAAAACATATGGTCCAAAGTATTTTCTTTTGCCTGCATTTTTTATCAGCTCAGTTGCATTCATGTTAATACCAACTGCAGCAGCTAGGTCAGGATCAATAGGAGTGATGCTATGCAGAGTTTTTCAAGGTAAATTAATGAATACTTTTTCTAATCCCGTTAATATAAAAAATAGTCGATTTAATATCACAACTCATTTAATACTAGCTTGTCATTTTTGCTTGTTTGTGAATATCTTGTCGTCTGGTGAGTTTATACTTGTACAGTCTAGTATCTGTATCAGAGCGCCATTTTAAAACGTTCTTTTTAAACTAAGCTTCAATGGAGCTCCAATATCTAGATAGAGACGAAATTTTTTTACAAATAATCGTAAGTCGGCATGCTGGTTATGAATAAGCTATGTTAATATAAAAAAGCATCAAACATTCAATTTTTAATTATTTGTATATACAGGGTGTCCCAGAAATAAGTGCAAATATTTTAAGAGGTGGTAGATCTCGAATAATAATAATTTTTTATAATTTTTTAAGAATAATAATTTTTTTATCTGCCTGGCCTCGATTCTTGATTTGGCATTTTGCAAAATGACACAAAATGAAAACAGGCAGTCTTTTTGCAGAATGTGTACAGAAAATATCATCATTGCTTAATATACCTAATTCTGACTATGCCTTTTGCAAAGTAACTGAAAATAGATAGGCTTTCTGAAAAAATACCTCCTTTTACGCAAGCACAATCAGAAGCAAGAGCGCGAGCAGTATCACGAGCAGTGTGGACGCACCTTTAAAAGACGGCATATTAAAATATGCCTAGTCTTTTTGCAAAAAGCCGGATTATTCTATACGCCTGCAACATATACATGACACAGAATTTTTAATCATTTTCTTCTAAGAAATAAATATTTTTAAATTATAAGCATTAAAGCAATGTTTTGAATATCATCATAATCTACTTCTACCTGGATTAATATTCTGTTTTCATAAACAATATTGATTCAAGTGTCATTAATTGTCAACTGAGTACTAAACATTTACCCATTAGCAGATAAAAAAATCGCTAAATATTTTAGATAAAAATCCTTTCAGTTACATTAAATTAAAACAAAATAATAATTAAATAATAATTGATAATGCAATATAGATAAGAAAGGAGTAAATAATTATATAAATAATTTAAGATAAAAGAATTTTCAGAACATGAAACTTAAACTTAATAATTTACATAATACTAGAAGTATTTGAATTAATATTAAAAGTTTTAAAAAATTAAAAAATAATAATATAATGAATATTGAATTTAATCTTAGGTGTGACTCAAGGATTTATGTTTCCATCAGCTGATACACTCTTAGGTCGATGGGCTCCAGCAGAAGAAAGATCTACAATGGGCACTTTGGTATATATAGGTAAATAACTATGCTGCTGCATACTAACAATAGCGTATTGTATTATCGAAAAAAAATGGCGTCAAAGACGGCTGGGAATGAAAATCGATGATAATTTTGGCGAGATCAATCTTTACACATCGCATTTACATTTGATAGTCATAAAACTTTGGAAAAAACTGGGTTTTTCCAAATTTCTTTCTAAGTGAAATTTTTTAACTGTAATTTTCTAAAACAAAACAAGAAGCCTCTTTTACAAATACTTATTTAAACAGTTTTTTTAATTAGTATCGACAATATTAGTATCTATACTCTTTGAAAATTTGTTAGGTGCATCTTTAAAAATAATCTAAAATCTCAATATTCCATTTTAGGTTCCTCCTGTGGATCTGTCCTATCATCCATTATCACCGGATACTTCTCATCTTCCTGGTTAGGCTGGCCAGCATCATTCTATCTATTTGGAAGCCTCGGAATAGCTTGGTGCGTCCTGTTTTTAATTTTCGGACAAAACAGTCCAGCCACGCATCCTCGAATAACAAAGGAAGAACAAAGATACATTCAAGCGTCACTAGGTCAACTTGAGGATGACGAGGTCAGTTGAAAAGGAAAGCCTAGAATACAACATATATTTTTACAAAAAATGTCTATACCTATGTGGCGGATTCACCTATCCAAAAAAGTCCTGTGTGTATTTCACCACTCGAAGAAAATCTACAAAATAAAATAGTTATTTTTTGTAAACACTGCTGCGTTAATCCAATGGAGACTAATTGTCAGCAGTGGCTTAGTAATGAACAAATTTGCCTAACGGAAAAAAAATGCTTCACGTTTCCGAAAATATATCTTTCCGTCGTCGGAAGCAAAAAAATAAAAGAACAAAGAAAAAAACTGTTTAAAATATCTACATGCAGCTATTCGAGAACAGTTTAGTTTTTTTTTAAACAGATACGTCTACAAAAACCGTTGACGTTCTGTTAAAATGACATTATATCCAAGTTAGACTTCAAAATTAACAGTTACTACCTGATAACAATAATTACTTAATAAGGTAAAACCAAAAAGCTTTAAAACTTTCTCTATGATTATTTTTAATTTGATTTTAATTTTTACGTATGTTATGTTTTTTAAAATCAAAGAAGGCGATTGCCATATATTAATAACATCTACAGATGCATGGACAATACATTTCTTTTTATTAGATTGTATTAAAAAAAGCTTCTTTTATTTTTCTTTTCGAGGCTGTCGCTTCTTTCATTATATTTTCTGGATTTTTAAAATCTATTCTGTGTCCTGTGCCCCATGAATGCTGACAAATCTTAGATTTGTGAACGTCAAAAGGACATTTTTGGATATATAGTTTTATTTTTCTAAATAATAAACAAAATCTTTTTAATAGGTTGTTCCTACACCATGGAGATCCATAATCATGTGTAGGCATTTATGGGCTATAGTGGTAGCCAACGTTGGATCGTCTTGGGGATATTCTATGTTGATGACGCAAACTCCAACGTATTTGTCGAAAGTCATGAAATTTGACATAAAATCTGTAAGTTGTCTAGAATAGCATAGTCTGTCCAATGAGTCAGGAAAGAATAATTCGACAGACGACATCCAAAAAATAACAGAAAAGAAAATTTGCCTGTGAATTAAAATGACAGACACAACTTGTCATGAATACTCTCGTTGGACAGACTATACAGAGTGAGTCTTAAATAAATGCAAATATTTTCAGGGCTGGTAGATCTCGATAAAAGAAACATATTTTCTCTTTGCCGTTTTTCAGATAAGTGTAAAATAACAGATATATTTTACTTACTGAAAATTAAAAAAAAAGATTTTTCTTCTAAATTTTAAAAACCGCTGGATCTTTTCTGGGTTTTCTTTATTGTAACTTTAATGTTTTTTTCTTGTAACTACCTATGTTGCCATATTACGAAGATATTACGTTTTTTAATTTAAAATTTAAAAAAAATCATAGACGTGTTTCTGTGGTCAAAATATAATAACTCTAAAAATATTTGCATTTATTTATATCTCAACCTGTATACTAGCAAAACTAAACTGAGAGACTTTAGAATGCCTTAGAGTAATTTGTTATTAAAATTAATTATTATCTTCAGAATGGTTTGGTGACAGCTATTCCGTATGTGGTAGGCATTCTATTTGGTTTTGTGTTTGCCCCTATAGCGGACTACCTTATTGCAAAAGAATATCTGTCGAGAACTGTAGTCAGGAAAGTTTTTAATACGTTTGGTAAGTTTTTAATACGTTTGGCAACGTCACAAATTCTGCTGTAACCCGTATATGGACGTTACATTCTTCTCTAGACCTTGTATTCTTTAGTCATTGGTTGTAGTAAATGAATCATGAATTACAATGACAGACAACTGCCAATTGCTTCTATCATAACTTCTATCATTGAACTGACTATAAATCATCTTTGAACATTTACCTTTAGTAATAAAACAACCATATATATCATTTTATTAATTACTAATATTATTAAGTCAAATATTAATCTGTTTATATACTATTTCAGGATCAAATGTCCAAGCCCTATGCCTAATCATATTAGCTTACGTGCCTCAAACTCAACTGTCAGCTGTGATAATCCTAGCTGTCGGCAACGCTGCCAACGCTGCCCTGCTGGTTGGCTATGCTGTCAATCACATCGATCTGTCGCCAAGATTTTCCGGAATCATGCAGGGTTTCAGTAATGGAACTGGTCAAGGAATTGCCATATTCTCTCCACTATTAGTTCAATTTGTTGTAAATGATCAGGTTAGTAAGCCTAAAGTATCTTAGATAGGAAATATCGGAAACAAGAAATAGCCATCTTAGCCGCTGTAGATGTAAAATGTGAAAGATGGCTAAACTATTTTGTTTTTACGAGATATTCCACCTAGGCTAGCGATATGTTGATTGGTGTTAGTAATTCTGTCTACTACTTTAATCCATTTTTGCAAGAGAAGTGTTTAATATATTATATTTATTTTTTTAGGAAAATCAGGAACAATGGAGAATTATATTTCTCACATCGGCTGTTGTCTATATAAGCACTTCCCTGTTCTACGTAATGTTTTCATCGGCAGTGAGACAAGAATGGGACGGGCCAGCCACTGAAGCTGAAGCCAAACTAGAGAGAGTTAAGAAACAGTCTGTTGTCAGTTTAACTGGATTTTGATATTAATATACTTGAAATAAAATTTACTTTTATACAAATAATGTTTGCCTATATTTTTTTCCTCAATATGATGGAGATGTTCTATCGCGGAAACCATATTGTGTTTGTACCTTTTCTATGTCTGCACCCAGTTTCCTATCTGTGTACCTTGCACCAGCATTTGCAGATCTTTGATGGGATGGGAGCATAGTTCCTCTAGCCTTCTGATCCCGAATAGTAAGTGTCGCTTGCGATCCAGAGCCTCGCAGTGATATACTATGTGCTCTGCTCTTTCATGATGTGAGCATTAGCAGTTCCTTTGTGGTTTTAGAATTAAGTCCTTGTATGGAAATCCTTGTATGAATACCTCCACCCCTCTCTGTTTCTGCGAGGTTTGTTTTTCCTGATCCAGAGTTATATTGAACTAAGTACCATACATTTGAATATTTTCAGTTGTGGCTTTGGACAAAGATAAAATTCCGTTGATCCTTGCCTTCTTAACTGTTACCCGGAATAATTTATTTGTGTTGCTTTCTGTCAGAGTTATCATAGTGTGGAAGACACTATGCTATACTTCTTCATTTACCGTAGTATAGCAGATATAGAAAAACAGTGTGTATGGTCAAAATTGCCATGATGGTCATGTCACGAAAACAACAAATGCGTGCAAAATTTCATGAGCATCGATTTAGTTAAAGTACCTAGATGGAAAATATAGTTCTTTTTGAAATGGACACTTTTTCTAACAGTTAGGTGTGATATTTTCTATGTTCACACCAATGATTACAACATAAAGTATTTTTTTTAATAAAATAATAGTTAGGGACGATGATTCAAATGAGAACAAATATTATAATCTCAAATATACGTAATCATATTAAATAGAATTGTTTACTGGTAGTAGGCAGCGATGTTACGATAAAGTAGTTTCTCAAATAAACTTTATGAGGAACATTCTGGAGATTTTTATCAAAATAAAATGTAATCCTATACATACCAGATATCTGGGAAAATTGTATCATAAAAGAAATATTTTGATTTTAATTTTAATTATTTAAGTGTCAAAAGTATTCTAATTCCAAAAGAACCTACCCACTCCAACCAGCCAATCAAATAATAGTTAAAATTATAAAAAATTAATTGATTCTGCTAAGAAATTAACAACGTCAATTGCTACTGAAAATACCAACTGATAAAATCACAATCTGCGTCTACAAAAATACAGTGGCTTTGCTTATCTTAAAAAAAATGAAGTACCCATTAGTTTCTAGACATCGGTATAAATTTCGGAAGAATTGATAAGATTATTAATTTAAAAGGGTTGTTAGATCGGTCTAAATATGAAATTAATTTATTTTAGCTCTTATAAAAATATTAAAATCTTCTCGTTGCTCCAATATGCAATACACGATGATAAGCTACTTTTAAAAGATGATATAAACAGTTTTTATCTTTATTTAAGTCCTTAGACTTAATAGTTGTAAACAGTCTGCAAAAAATCTAAGCTAGACTTGACACAGCTCCAACTCTAACCTTCTTCTTCTTAGGTCGCCGTCTCCCACAAAATATACAGGTTGTTAACTCGACAGTTACTTATAGGGGAACAGAATGGCAACACTGCCTATCGAGAACGCATGCATTATTGATTTTTGTGCCCACTCGTCCCGTCGCGTTGTCTATCGACGAGCTTGCCGCGAGTAATGAACAAATTAACAACCTGTATACACAAGGAGAAGTGTTAGCGCCTTGCTAAATATTGGAAAGGGAAATTGACGTTTAAATTTGACACTGTTGACAAGTCTACTGCTACTAGCGCCCCCAATATCGCTTGTAGGAACTACGGACTAGATTGTCACGCATGGCGGGAAGTTTAAAAAAATAAAAAATTTTAATTCTTCATTTATTTTTAATTATGACATACATAAAAACACAAAAAATACACCATTTTTTAAAAATATGTTTAATATCAATATCAAATATACAACAGAAATTAATTTCACCACAATAAATTAATAAAATTAAAAGAATAATGTTACACGTAGATCAAGAGACAAAATTAATTATAATAAAACTGAAAAAAATGGCGTCATAGATGGCTTAGAAATAAAGATATATATCATAATTTTGAAATTAAAATTATATGGGAAATGTCATCGATCATCATTTTTAAGCCAACTGGATGATTATTTCAAACATACAAGCTGAGTTCGTTCATAGTGCTCTGAAAAATCTAGAATAAATTAAAAGTATTCCAGGAGAAAAGAGAGGAAAAACCTGTATCGTCTCTGATATCTGTCAGGGTATTGTTGAAAGTGTCATCTTTTTGCTCGAAGTTTTCAGGTCGATCAAAAAGATGACATTTACAACAATACTAGAGAGTACAGGTATTGCCTCTCTTTTCCTCTGGGATGCTTTATATCTGTTGTTCTTTGTTTATGTATATTTCTCAGAGCATAATGCCGAACACGACTACAGTATATAATAATTTCAATATCCTAAGTGGAAAGAAAAAAGATCAACTTTCTGTTTTGTACTATGGTCCCTTTCTTCCGATGGATCATCTCGTTGATATTTAGGAAGGTATCCATAAAATATATATTTTACAATCGGTCCTGGAATGAGAATATATAAAATTCAATTTGATTTCATGATCCTATTATATATATTTGTCACCTAAATCAGGAGAATGACAATGAGCATGTTAAGATGAAAAAAACATTATTTATCAACACTTACCTACACGTTAGTCCGAGGAGTTTTATCAAAAACCTATATTTGCCTAAATAATTTATGTATTAAATTTGCAAAGCAAACTGCAGCGTGTAAACAAAAGAAATAAAATGGCAACAAGTCAACGTCAACGAACCGACAAGCAGAAAAGTGGTGTTCAAATAACAAATTATGGGTCACCAAAAATTCTTTTTGTCTCCTTTCAACGCACACTTTAGAAAGAAAAAGAGATGAACTGTAATACTGAAAGAACGTCAAGGTTTTATCTGTCACTCTTGTCAATAATGTATCGGTAAGGAAGATTCCTAGAAAATCGCTTGTAGTCAAGTTTTGAAGCATTGCCAGTTCTACCATAAGAAGTTTCATCCACTTGCCGTCTCCCTTCGGAGGTTGGCAATCCAATTGGCTATGATGAAAATTTCAATTGATGTTCTTCTGAACCAATGACGTAGATCCTTAAGCCAGGAGTTTTTGCTTCTTCACACTGATCTTCTGTCCTCAATTTTGCTTTCAATGATTAGCCTAAGCACCTCGTATCGTTCACCCCCCATGATATGACCTTATCTGTATCTTTCCTTCCTTCACTATTGATAGGAGCTCTTTATCTTTGCCCATCCGCCTGAGCACCTCCTCATTTATCACTCTATCCATCCAGGATATACGCAGCATACGACGACGAACCCCCTTAAAAACTCTAACCTGCCTCTTAAAAAAAAAGTATGTCTCAGACAAGAATGGCAACAAAACGGTGAGTGACAAACAACAAATTTTTAGTATGGTGGAGGAATTCACAATGGAAGAGATAGACGAAAATCTTCATACTAGAACATTCGCCAAAATTTATGGCAGACTTGATAAGCAAAGACAGAAAAACATTCAAAACGATCAAATCACAATAGATCTGAAGATGGAACGCAGTGGAATATCTCCAGAAAAAAATAGCAGAGCAGTATATCATAACGAATGTATCTTGATCATTATCTATAACTGTATTATCGAAAAAAAGAAAGAAAATAATTTTGACGAGGACTTTACTAAAAACTGACACAAAATTGGAAAAAGAAAAAAACACTAAATATCATCATCATCAACCAGCCACTAAAGTCCACTGATAGACGTAGACCTCCCTCCTTTGCTTCCATAACTTCCTATCTTGAGCTATTTGCATCCAGTTACTGTGGATACACTTCAAGTCCTCATGCCATCTGTCTTGGTCCCCATTTTATTATTGTCTTCGTCCATCGGTCATTGTTAAGCCTTGTAATGTGCCCTGCCCAATTCCATTTTAAAGAAGTTATTTTCTCTATGGCATCCATGACTTTTGTTCTGTTTCAAACTTTAATATTTGTTACTTTGTCTCTCAAAGATAGCCCCAACATTGATCTTTCCATTGCTCTTTGTGTTATTCTGATTTTACTTACTTTTTTCTTGGTTAATGTTAAGGTCCCCGGCACTATACGTTAGGATAGGTAGAACGCATTGATTGAATCAATGCGTACTATGTGTACAGGGACATCATTTTAAGTGTCTCACTCGATTTATAATTTTCCTGTTTGGTATTTAAAGATAGTAGAAAGATTTCCTAATGTAATTTTTCGCGGTTTTAAAAAATTTTGGTGTAGAGAATCGGCATCCTCGCGAAAAATTACATTAGAAAATTTATCTATTTTTAAATACCAAACAGGAAAATTATAAATCGAGTGAGACACTTAAAATGATGTCCCTGTACATTGGTTAGATCAAAAAACAGTAATGGATATGATTAGTCTATCTTATACATCTTTCCATTCACAATAATTGTCAATACCTACACAAATAAATATGCAGTAATATGTTAAAAATGCATCAGATAAAATAAACCGTTGTTATTTTGTTGCGTTATATAAATAATTTGACAGATATGCCAACTATTTAGTAAACCTGTATAAAATATTTTAAATTATTTCAATCCACTTAAGGCGATAACTTGACAAAAAAAGATAAGTGGTTTGAATTGTATCGAGTAGTCTATAAAGCTGCCGGACACTCACAAAAACTCATTATAATATATAATTATCTGTAATGCCTCATCTTCAATTCTTCTATGTACTTGATTAAATTCCTAATTGTGTGACATTTGTAATAGAAGATATACTTAACCAGAACATGACTCTGGTTAGAAGAAAATCTCAAGCTCCAGAAAAACCTAAAATGGATGGAGTTTATTATACCGGAGAAAAAGGTAGTTATTTTACAGAAAAAGTGTACATTTCAAAAGTGGACGTGTATAGTGCTATTAAAAAAAAACTCTAGTGAATCAATTATTATGGATTAATAGATGGGACATCATTATAACCAAATGCCATACCTAACCAAATGCCATTACTCGCTGACGAGTATTTGACAGGCATCAGAAGATGGTTACGCAAGGCGTTTGAGCTTTTCATGAGCTTTTCTGTGACTGAAAAATCACGATACGTGATGTCATCTCTCTTCATGACTACGGACATTAAAAAAACTCATTGCTTTGTTGCTTTTTTTTTTGGTTGTCGCTGTTAACTTAAGTTTACAATCCTTCTCCATTGCGTTTTATTGTGCGCTGCTTCTAACCACTGATTCTGTATGCTTATTCCCTTAATTCCTTATTAAATTTTTGTGGAAAATATTCATGTACCTTTTGAGTTGTCCACCCGGTTTCCTCTTACCGTCTACAAGCTCACCGTAAAGAAGAGATTTTGGTAAGTGGTTTTCTTGAATTCTGCATCTGTGACCAGCCCATCTCAGGATTTAGTAATGAAGACTTCAACGCTTTTTCTACTACTATTTCTACAACGTATAGATACAACTTAATGTTAAGAACATAATTTGTTATAATCTTTGTTCTTTATTTTTCATTTTGAATATAAAGGTTGTTTTTAATTTATTTTTTCTAAAATAATATAGGTCCCAAATTTGGCGTGCGCTATGTTCAAATGGTTATCATTGCCTTTAGTACTGGCGTAATGCTTTCTACCAAGGGTATGTTTTCTGTATTGATCGTTGCCATGATCAAAAATGGATCTTCGACAAATCCGGATGTTCCAGTAAGTATCTGTATCCATATTTTTAATCATTTTAATCGCACCTAAATGAGGCTAATACCTGTTTTATTTGTAATTGAATGCATTCAAGATTTCTGAAACAAATAATATTAATATTCCTCTATGAATAAATATAATATTTTTTTGTCAATGTTCATTTAAGTTAATTACTTTGATATTTACAATCAGATTAAAAAAGATAACAATAACAATTATTGTTATAGTCTAAATATATATTTTAAAATACAATTAAAGGACTATTAAAGTCTAATTTCAGATCTACTTATTTGATTAAACATCTACTCTAAATGATAATTTACCTATTAAATAGGTATATAAAATGCCATTTTGCAAATTTTCCAAATTTTATAAAAATATTCTCTATACTCTGAGCTATCTAAATTATTTTTTGATAAAATATTGCACTGCCAACCACATTGCCACATTTTTATAAATATTTGGCATATTCATATACGCAAATCATTTTTGTATGTAACATACCGGTATCATAGCATATTTATAACCAGCTTACCGACTTTACATAGAGGGAGATTTGGGTATTTACCTACCTTGATATCAGTGAGGAAAAAATTGGTAAAATAATAAAAGAGCACTTATTACTGTTAATCTACGACAATGTCATGATGACACATTTAACATTGTCATTTGGATGTCATTATGGCTTGCACTAGTGCTATAATGAATTCATAATAACACGCAAATTTTAAAATAAGAAACAAGCATAAAAAGGTACCTAAATAAGTTTATTTATTGTAAACATTCTTTTTAGAAATGCAATTAAATGGAGGAACTAACTAATATCTGTATTTTTCTTCACTGATATAACTGAACGTCCATCACAAAGTGATGAAGCCTTCCTTTGTTTTGAAAGATGTTCAAAATATGCCAGGAGAACCTTTTCGTTACTACTATTCTTGATTCCTTTCCCTTTACACCAATCTTCAAGTTTTACATAAGCTTGCTCGTACGTTTGTCTTGATTTATCGGGAAGGGAATCGACAACGTTTTGCACAATGCCTTCAATATCCGAAGAGACACTTTCAGAATCAGAATCACCCATATTAATATTATTTTTTGGTTTTTGCTAAAACTGAACGTTTAACACAAAATTGAACATCAATAATTGAGTTGTCAAAGTCAAAATGGAAACAATCAACAAGCACGGTTACCACGGCGTCGACTAATATGGGCACCTGAATATTTTGAATTTTAATTTTTATGAGGATATCTCTGATATTTTAAATTAAATCAAATCTATCTGGATCGTCCCTCGTGTCGCGTCGTAGATTAAATTTTGAATGATACACGTTCGATACGAACTTTTTAATGAAACTTGGTTTAACTAAGCCTTAACTTTACACGCATTTCATTATGATGTTCGTATCGAACTTGTATCATTAATAACTATTTAGTTTACTAGTCATTGAGTAGATTAATATCACTCTGTTCGCTGTTCTACAGAGTCTGAAATGATTTTTATGTCCCGGTAAATTAAAAATAAAAACATGAGGATCACAATATATCTTGTATACTTAATTGTTGTTTTTAGTATTACACTTGGAACAACACAAACGTCATCATATCAGCTATTTTATGGGGAGGACTACCTTTCCAACTACTTGCTGGGTATTTGGGCAAAGAACACGGACCAAAGTGGTTGATTGTAGGCACCCAGTTAATAAATTCCATTGCCTTTTTCATCATTCCGTTTGCAGCCCAGATCTTAGGCTCTACTGGAGTTATATTGTGCAGATTAGTACAAGGTGTAGCCCAAGGAGCTTATTCGCCTTTACAAGTGTGCGTTGGAGGAATATGGACACCTCCTGAAGAAAGGGCTCGACTTAGTTTTATTGGGAGTTGTAGTAAGTAGAGTATTTAATAATATTAGCATCAATTTTAGTATGAGTTAGCACCAGCAGCAAATTACTAAATCAATAATGATCTATCTAGAAATCTAGAAATTATACTTTAAACATAAGGTTTAGTATTTATAAAGTAAATAAAAATAAGATCTTATATCTCCTGTTTGGAGTAAAGAATTTAAGTGAAAGCTTTCCATCGGGTTCTATTTGTGGCAGTTGCTTTTGCTTTGTTCCATGTTAAACCTATTTGTTGGAACTCGTCCAATATGGAAGGTCTCCAAGCTTGAGCTGGTCGTCCTTGCTTTCTTTTGCCTTGGGGATTCCGTTCTAACGCTGATTTCGCTATCTGTGGGCGGTTGGTAGATATTTTTGTCAGCCTTCATGTCTTAGGGTACGTTTATGTTGGAGCTGCAATAAACGATAAAAGCAGTGAATTAGCGCTGCTCTTATCGTTGCTCAACTGCCAAACGTGTCTCGACGCGTTGCTCCAATATAAACACCTACATATAAATTAATATAATAATATTCTTTGCTTCGCTACTATCGCTGCTCTTATCGTTTATCGCCGTTCCAACATAAACGCACCCTTACAGCCATATAGCAGAACTTGTATAACGCTAGAATTGAATATTCTTAGGGTACGTTTATGTTGGAGCTGCGATAAACGATAAAAGCAGTGAATTAGCGCTGCTTTTATCGTTGCTCAACTGTTAACCGTGTCTCGACGCGTTGCTTCAATATAAACAGCTACATATAAATTAATATAATAATATTCTTTGCTTCGCTACTATCGCTGCTCTTATCGTTTATCGCCGCTCCAACATAAACGCACCCTTACAGCCATATAGCAGAACTGGTATAACGCTAGAATTGAATATTCTTAGGGTACGTTTATGTTGGAGCTGCGATAAACGATAAAAGCAGTGAATTAGCGCTGCTTTTATCGTTGCTCAACTGCCAACCGTGTCTCGACGCGTTGCTTCAATATAAACACCTACATATAAATTAATATAATAATATTCTTTGCTTCGCTACTATCGCTGCTCTTATCGTTTATCGCCGCTCCAACATAAACGCACCCTTACAGCCATATAGCAGAACTGGTATAACGCTAGAATTGAATATTCTTAGGGTACGTTTATGTTGGAGCTGCGATAAACGATAAAAGCAGTGAATTAGCGCTGCTTTTATCGTTGCTCAACTGCCAACCGTGTCTCGACGCGTTGCTTCAATATAAACACCTACATATAAATTAATATATTAATATTCTTTGTTTCGCTACTATCGCTGCTCTTATCGTTTATCGCCGCTCCAACATAAACGCACCCTTAGTTTTGTTTATGTGGAGAGTTTAGTATTTATATCTTTTCTTTTATTCTTTAGGTGCCACCTTAACCATAATGGTCTCGTCTATAGTTGCTGGAGTGGTGTCTAAATCAAGTCTGGGTTGGCCTTGGGGTTTCTACAGTTTTGGAGCGCTTAACCTGGCCTATGCAATATTTTATATGATTTTCGGGCACCAGAGCCCAGAAACACATCCCAGTATAAGTCCTGAAGAAAAAATGTACATTCAAGTTTCGCTTAGTCAACAACCAGGAAAGGTAAACTATTTATTTTCTTCTTCCTACAGTCCCTAGCTCTATACAGCATGTATGGTATTTCTATTGTCACTCAGAGTTAGTTTAGAACTCGAAAGTTTTGTCTTTTTATGACTGCTTTTATCAGTGTTTTACAATTACATTTACGCTACATAAATAATTTAAGATTATATTGTTCCCTTCTGTTTGCTACCAGGGTAATATAACTACAAAAAATATTTTGGTTCCCTTTACCTACTTGTTTTTTTTTTCTTTTCTTTAGCTTTCATTAACTGTCAACTAAAATAAATTTTAATTTTCTTGTGTAATATACATTTATCTGTTCCTCTCAATAGTGAAAAGAATGATGTAATTAAAAATTGGTTCTGAATTACCCTTAATTTTTAAATAAAGAATTTTTTAATACAAGATTGTGAGTATACTGTGTTAGAGGATATTCATTATTACTAGAGGATATTCATTATTACTAATTTATTACTAATTTGTTTTAGAATATACCTACGCCTTGGAGGAAAATCTTCTTGTCAACACCTGTTTGGGCTATAGTGATAGCCCAAATCGGAATTAACTTTTTCCTGACACTCTTCAGCTCTGACAAATCCTTATTTTTGGACAAAATAATGAAGTACGATATTCAATCGGTAAGTTTTAATCTTACTGAACGTACTGAAAAGTATTGATGTATTGATTTTTTAGAACGGTGTAATAGGATCTATACCGACCCTATGCGCATGCGTAAGTGGTGTAGGCATAGCCTACATGTCTGATTACAGTGTTCAAAGTGGACGTTTTTCGGTGATAAATTCCAGAAGAATTTTTCATTTAATGGGTAAGTCTGTTCAGATAGAGAGAAGAGACGATTTACATAGGTATCAAAGAAAAAATGGTAGCCGTGGCAACATTGCGACGTGCTTTTGTCATATATTTTTTATAATTTTTTTATTAACTGTATCATCGTTTCTTCATTTTTAGGTTCCATTACTATATCGATTCTTCTTATTGTCCTAACATACATACCCTCCGAATACAGAGCCTGGGCGATAGTAGATCTCTGTTTTATAGACATATTTATAATTTTTACACTGGTTGCCGGCAGTTATATTAATATTTATGACGTTTCCCCACTGTTTTCTGGAATTATACATGGCATTTCCAACACATTGGCAGACGCTATAGGTATTCTGGCACCGCTGACAGTCCAATGGTGTGTCACTGGTGATCAGGTTGGTAGACATTTATACCAAATGACCAAAAAGCTTTACAACAAACAAAGCGTAGTCTCCAAGGTCTTGACATTTAAAATTTAATTTTTAAGTTCAAAACTCATGTATATGATGGTTAAATTCTAAATTATATTATTATAAATTATTAATAAAGAAACATTATAAAGACTATTACACACTAAGTTTAACATAATATCCAGGAGGCCTATAGAAAGAGTAGTTAAATTTAAGTACTTGGACATCTATCTCTTCGAAGATTGGACACCCGAAAACAACGATACGTCGTTGTATCTCTATTTATAAACAAAAAACCTCCTAAAACACACTAAAATGGGACACCCTGTACTTATCTTTATCCAAAATCAGTTATAGTGTCAAGAACTCTAGCAATTTACCGAAAAAATAAACAGTAACACTAAAACAATTAAATCATATTATTCTTTTCAAGCTAAAAATTACACTAGATCATTAACTTCTTCAAAATTTACTAATAATACTCTCTTTAGGAAAATGTTGAGCAGTGGAGAACTGCTTTTGGTATTGCATCAACCATTACGATAGTCTCAGGCATAACCTTCGCAATATTCGCTACCGATAAGAGACAAGAATGGGAAGGAGAAACTCCCGATGTTAAACTCGACAGAAAATTAAGTATACTCAGTTTGGAAGAAGCAATTGGAAAGTTCTGAAGCTATTTATATTATTTAGAATTAAGACAACTATTTAAAATTCTTGTGATAATTGTATAGATATAAGGTATTTTTTAACATAATTTATAAAAATAGATAAATTAATTGCTAATTTTATAACTTTTTTATAATTTAGTAACTTTATTTAAACAGAATAATAAATATAGTTAAAAAACTGTGACTTGTTCATGGCTGTGAAATTGATTACAAAAGACACAAAAAAATTCGATTCTTGGTAAGAGAATATCAAAATTACATTCCGCTTCTTGTATTCTTTAACAGTAGTGTGTAGGTTTTAGGTTTGTGTGCTAGCAGATAGTAGCAATCACGTCAGCAAAATTTAAGAAAAACTTCTTTTGAATGTCGAGGAATCAACAACATCTACTAAATTACATTAACTTGAAAGATAGCATTGCAAAAAAGGTCCAAAACTGGCAAAAGAAGGTGCTATTTTTGTCCCAGAAATCATAAATTATGAAATTTTTAGTAAATGACCTCTAAAGATTGGCCTTATTTTTTTAGGCTTTTTATTTTATTTTTGGTCAAAATTATCATCGATTGTTATTTTTTGGTTTCTCTCTTTGACGCCATTGAAGCCATTGAAGGACTGAAGTGGACAAACAGATTAAAAATGCTTCAAGAATATCAGGGTATTTACGTGATGTAATATGGAAAAATAAATACATCGGTGCAGAGAGTAAGACCCCAACTTATAAGACCTTTATTTGACCCATACTGACTTACGCTGCTGAAACAAGAGCAGGAATATCAGAAACAAAAAGGAAAATGAGAACAACAGAGATGAAAATATTACGAACAATAAAAGAGTCTACATTGCTCGACAGAATACACAACACAAACACGCTAAAAGAGTTGCCAGTTGTACACTCCCAACTCTTGTCTCTGTGTTGTGTATTCCTGTGTATACCTATAGGACGTTGTCAGATGGGTAAAAGCAAGGCGCCGATGTTGGAGAGACCACATAGACAGAATGTATCCAGATCGAATTGCCAAGTGGGCGTTGATATGACAGATGGACATCAACATCGCAAGAGGATAATAATTAAAAAAATTGACAGGACCTCGTCCTATTACAAGAAGAAGAAGAATACGTTATACTATACATATCATCGTAAATATCATCGTAATTGTTCTAAAATAATATAAGCCTCACTTATTTACTTAGCGAAATTTGAAAAACTTACTTTTACTTAGCGAAGTTTGAAAAACTTGAAAAGAATCCATCTAGATGGAAAGGAAATACTGCCATCACAGGAAGTGAAATATCTAGGAATAATCCTGGATAGTAAACTTCTCTAGAACAGGCATATTAAGAACATTACCAGCAAAGCCACAAAGGCTCTCATGATATGCAGAAGACTGGCGGGAAATAGGTGGGGCTGCGCCCCTAAAATTTTGCGCTGGATGTATACCATGATAGTAGGACCCATGATTACATATGGAGCAGTTGCTTGGTATACAAAACTAAAGCAACGTACAGCAAGGCAAAACCTGTGCAAAGTACAGAGACTGGCATGTATCTGTATCACAGGTGCCATGAGAACATGTCCAACAGCAGCAATGGAGGTCATTTTAGACCTAACACCACTGCACATTGTCGTCGGTAGTTATGCCAATGCGACAATGATTAGAACGGTCATTGACGGAAACAGTACTGGGAGAATTTTTAGGTCAGGGGCTTGGAACGAAAAAGAAAATTCCACTTCTCCAACTCCCAGTGGATGACATACCAAGAATTTACAACTTTGAGGAACACCTCACTGTAGTATTGAGTAATAAAAAGGATTGGAAGAAAGAAACGCTTACTCAGCATATAAAAGACCATACCATAACGTGGTATACTGATGCTTCCAAAACCAAAGCAGGGACAGGGATAGGAGTATTTGGGCCGAAAACCAAATACTCGGAACCAATGGGCACCTACCTCAGTATCCTTCAGGCAGAAATTTACGCTATCGAAAGATGTGTACAATTTATCTTAGACAGGAACTATCGAAAACAGGAAATTGCCATCCTATCCGATAGTCATGCAGCACTAAACGCGATCAACTCAGTAACCATCAATTCGAGGCTGGTCAAAGAATGCCTAGAGAAGTTCAACAAGTTGGGCAAAGAAAATAAAGTCCTCCTACTCTGGGTGCCTGCTAACCAAGGGATAGAAGGCAATGAAAAAGCAAATGATCTAGCTAGGAAAGGAGCGAACACTCCACTAACTGGACCAGAACCGTTCTGTTTTCCAAGCGGAAACCAACTGAAAACGGAACTGAAGAATCTGGAAGACTCCAACCGTAACTTGGAATGGGTGTCCTCCAAGACACTCGAAAAAGTTCCTCAGAACCTATGACCGAGAAAAATCAAAGGTTTCCCTTGATTTAAGTAAAAACAATCTTCGGATTGTCACGGGGTTTGTAACAGGACACCGTCTCCTCAACGAACACCTCAGTAGGCTGAAGCTGAGAAACAACGGCGAATGCAGATTCTGTGAGGAATATGGGGAAACACCTGAACACCTCATCACTCAGTGCGCCGAGACGACGACCATTCGTGCCATGAACTTTGGTACGGCTGATGTCAAGGATGGTGAGCTAGCCTCTGTGGAGCCGGCTCAGATATTGGCTTTTGTCAAAGCCTTGAGACTGTATGATGAGTTAAAAGTCGTTATAACTCAAGAAAGGGGAACACACAATAGATCTTTAAGGTCGCGGTGACTAACTCCCCTCCTAAACATTCTACAAGCCTCACTTTATATCTATTTAATCAATCCGTATCTCTAACAGACCTATTTTTATAAGATTATCAAGTATTTTAATTTCTATTATTTCTCTTTAAGGAACAAATATATACTCTAAGAAAATATAAACAAATCGAATGAATGATTTGCAATAGTATAATTACAAAATCGAAAAATGATTCGACATTTATATATTTTAACTCGTAATATAACACAACAATTATTATTATTAAAAATTATTATTGTTTCAAACACTCCACTACCACGCATCTGTTTAAGATGTAATTTTTTTTAATGCAGGTTAATATTACATTATCTACCAAAATAGATCAAAATTTGCCCTAAACACATAAGAAATTTATTATATTTATTTTATAATAGAGAGAGTATAAAATTTTGAATACAACAATTTTTTCCTTGAATGGGAAATACGTATATTAAGAGTATATACGTATATTATAAATATATTTTGAAGGGTTGTATCGTATCCGTATTTTAAGAAAAGTACTTAAATGGCGATAAAATAGGACTGATTAGTAGAGCAACCAATTATTTAAGCCAAGTTATATTAGATGAATGTCATAAGTGTTTTAATAAGGCACGCTTTTAAATGTATCAAACCAGATAAATATTAATTTTGTGTAGTAAATAAAAGTGTAGAAGTTCCTAAATAGAATCATAAATTTTTATATTAGTTATGTGAATTAAACGACCATAATTAGGATATGTTCTGTGCCAAAAAGTAGAAAAAAATTGTTCTGAAAAGCAAAATATGATGGATCAGAAAAGTGAGGATAAAAGTAAACCCGCAGAAAATGGACTTGTATATACTGGTGATAAAGGTAACAAAGTATTTTCTATCGTCCTAATCATCACTATCATCATCAACCAGCCACTAAAGTCCACTGATGGACGTAGACCTCCCTGATTTGCTTCCATAACTCCCTATTTTGAGCAATTTGCATCCAGTTACTGTGGATACGTCTTATGCCATCTTTTGTTGGAGGACGGCCTCTGCTTCTGAATGCATCACGTTTTGGTCTCCATTCTATATCTATAAGTTTCTTTTTTTAATTTCACTCAAAATGAGTTATTTGGATCATAAATTAATGACCTAAATAAAAAATATTTTCTTGGTGTCTGTCTGTCTGTCTGTCCGTCTGTAACACGATAACTCAAAAACCGCTAAACCGATTTTAACCAAATTTGCCACAAAAATACTGTGGCATCCGAGAATCTGGCCATTAGTTTTTGGTGAGGGTGAGTGGTTGGTAAGGGGGTATGGGAGGGGGTTAAAAAATTAAAAAAATCGTAACTCCAAAATTACAGTAGCTAGCGAAACGCGGTTTTCAATTTAAGATTAGGAATAATATTTGCAACAAAAATTGTGAAAAGTGTTTTTATATAGTTGTATTTAAATATTTCATAGTTTTTTGTTTTGGTATTATGAAAAAAATTAATTTTAAAAATTTTGAGAAATAAGAGTTTCTTTTAATTTACTGAACTGAATAAGCAGAAAAATATTGCATACAATAATGGATTTCTTTTAAATTTTATTGTCGATGTATCTAAATCCATGTTGATAATTTTTTCCTATTTTTTAATTGTTAAATTCTTGTTAATTAGAAATTGGACCACACTGTATATATTGTTGTATTGTTTAAATAACAATACCGCTAATCTAATCAAAGGTTTCCAGAACAATATAATTATTCCTTATCATATGAAAATCTGAAGATCTACACACTTTATTTTAATCATTATTTATTTACATTTGGTATTAAAAAGTTCGTATTGTCTCGAAAATCATTTACTTGGTCCATACGCTTCATTATTTTTTAATGACGCTTACTGCCAGATTAACATAGATTTATCAGTAAGACGGAGAAACTAAATAAAACAAAGATGCATTCGACCTCTTTCAATATCTTATTTAAAGGGACCGAATACAAAGCGCATGCGTATGATGTATCGCTACAATTGATCGCTACAAAAATGCTGTGCTACAGGGGGCAGAGGGTACATTTTTTACAAAAGGCAACAATGCATTCGAGAAAAAAAAGTCTGACAACGTCATTGCCCTATTAAAGGTCCGAGGCTATGACGGCATTTATCAGCTGATGAAATCATCAAGATAAAATAAGTGCCGCATCTGTAACTTAATCTGTGACCTTACGAAGATTGAAAATGATTTTTAAATAGTGTAGTTAAAAATGTGAGAAAAAATATTTTTCTTGAAAACACAATTTCTACAATTAGTGTTATTTTTTTAGAAGTTTTATGTTAATTTTAAATAAATGATGTCTATGAAGCCGCTTTTTTATGATCATACGGTACTTTAGAGACACAATGAGCTACTAGTTTGGAAGCTTTTGATTTGCTTCACAATAATTTAATTATTTCGATCTCTAATTTAACTTTGTAAAAAAATCTATTATTTTTAATGTATTATAATTTACTAGCGTGTACCCGCGACTTCGTTCGCGTCGAATTAATCATTTGTAACATACAAACTGGATAAAAAATTTTATGTCTGCATGAGAAAAAACAATCCAGAAATGCCTCCTTACACCCCACAGTCAATCCGTTTACCAAAAATCAGCTTTAAACGTCAAGCAGTTTATGCAGAATCGTGGTTACTCAATGGTCATATTTTATGAAAAACCCTGTATAAATTTTTAAAAAATCTTACAATATGTAAAACAACAAAATAAAATATACGTGTTTAAGAGTTTTTCCGAAAAACTCACCGGTTTTTAAATAAAAAATATTCTAATATTTGAGGGGTGGTTTCGCCCCCTTAGAATTCGAGTTTCGAAAAATCACTTCTTATCGAACCTCTACAGTCTAAAGTCAATTCGTTTTCCAAAAATCAGCTTTTTACGTCAAGCGCTTTAAGCAGGGTCGTGATTAATCAATGCCCAGATTTTTCGAAACACCCTGTATCCATTTTTAAAAAATCTTAAAATATGTAAAACCAAAAACAAAATAAAATATACGTGTTTAAGCGTTTTTTCGGAAACTTGACCGTTTTTTAAATAAAAAATATTGTAATATTTGAGTGGTGGTTTCACCCCCTTGGAACTGGAATTTCGAAAAATCCCTTCTCATCGAACCTCTACACCCTAGAATCAACCTGTATGCCAAAATTGGGTTTCTTAAGTTGAGTTGTTTGAGCAGGATCGTGATTAATCAGTGAGACAGTCACTTAAGGATTTTATACAGGGTGATTCATGTAAGTCGGTCATGCTTTCGAGTAATGATAGGGGACGTCAAAATATTAATTTTGATATGTCACACTATGGGTCGGAAATGCCTCTTACGATACAGGGTGTTAAAGTTTTTGAAAAATTAAAGATATTCTTTAATAATTTCTTAACAGTTGAAGGTATCGTTATAAAATTTCATTATAGAAATCTACCTAACAGAGACACTTTAAATGTAAAAAGAAGAGGTATTAGTTTCAACCAGTGGCGTAGATGTGATACGCATTGGGTAAATTTTTCAAAAAAAAAATAATACGCCACTGAAAAATTTCGGAGTTTTTTATTTGCTCGGTTTATTTCCAAGAAAATGTCTCTTGCAACTTTCTCCTATCTAACATTTTGTCACAATTTAAAAACAAATAAATTTTTTAATGGCAATCTTAAATACAGCGAATTATTATAACTAGAGGGCAGAAACACATGTGCATTGTTAGCTCCCTTCATCTTGGGTAACTTTAGTACTTTTTACTATTAGCTCTAAATAAATTTTTAAAAAATTATAAATTTAAACTAGAATTTTTTTATTGTTAATAATAAAATTCTTAGTTTTAAGGTAGTTATAATGATTCGCATATTTAAGGTTCTCATTAAAAAAATATTTATTTTTAAATTGTGACAAAATGGTATTAGATAGAAGAAAGTTGCAAGAGACATTTTTTCTTGGAAATAAACCGAGCAAATAAAAAAACTCCGAAATTTTTATTTTTATCAGTGGCGTACTAATTTTTTTTTGAAAATATTTCCCGATGCGTATCAGAGCTACGCCACTGATTGAAACTAAAACCTCTTCTTTTTACATTTAAAGTGTCTCTGTTAGGCAGACTCCTATAATACAATTTTATACCGATACCTTCAACTGTTAAAAAACTATTAAAGAATATCTTTAATTTTTCAAAAACCTTAACACCTTGTATCTTGCGTAAGAAGCATTTCCGACCCATAGTGCTATATCATAATTAATATTTCGACGTCCCCTATCGTTCCTCGAAAGCATGACCGACTTACAGGAATCACCCTGTATATTAGTATACCAGTAGATTAAGCAAGTTACTTTGCCCTCTTATATAAACAATTGACTTATTATAACTTGTTTCCTCAAAATAGGTCCAAAATTTGGTGTGAGGTATACTCAAATAACAATTAGTGCCATTGGAACTGGCATCATGTACGCAACAACAATCACTTTTTCTACTCTATTAGTTGCAATGATTACAGAAGGATCTTCAACAAATCCTAATGTACCTGTAAGTATGCGTTATTATCGTTATTATGGTTATTAGCTATTAATGCTATATCACAATATCAAACACAAATACAACTTCATTATTTATTACATGGGATCCTGCATTCCCTTTGTATAAAATGTCATGTGTTATCATTTCCTGATATGTTTTACCATAGACATACTTCCAGAACATTCTATATAACACAAGCACTTTTAGGGTTCCGTAACCAAAGGGTAAAAACGGGAACCCTATTACTAACGGCCGTATTCATAGTCGAGCTCCAGCCGCCCGCCGAAAAGAAGCGCTCGCCGAAGATTTCTCCGGCGAGCGCTTCGATATCGGTAGAGAAAAAAAGCTCTTTCATAGTCGGCCGCCAGCACAGGCCGCCAGCGCACCGCTGCACAGTGCTTCGTCCCATGGACAAAAATCGAAAAAAAAGTTAAAATTTACTAATATCTGAATATGTAATTTTATACTTATAGCAATGTTGAACCATCCTGGTATATTATTTTTCATAAACACCGTTTTTTTGTTAGCAAATATTTTCACTAAAAATAAATTTTGCGATCATTATCTTATATCAATGAAAAGAATAACATTCATAGTAGTTCTGTATATGGAGTTAAACGTAAACGAGTTAGTACGTACTTAATTGAAAGCCACTATGGATATTGTTAAACAAGGTATGTACTTTAAATTTATTTCTAAACAAGTTCGTTATTGTTTAGTTTTTATTTATTTTTTAAAATGATTCTTAAATGGGTATAAAAATTTTACGTTTTCAAACTTCCAAAAAGGCATTTAAAAAAAAAACATATCAAAACATATCGTATTTATTGAATATTTTTGTTGTCATATTCATACACTTTTTAATTTTTGTATAGTTCACCTGCGTCTGCTTGCGACGAACTTTATTTTATAATACTTTTCAGATGGAGTAAAATTGACAAGCAATGCCGATCTGGTTAATACTTGGCTTGATCATAAGGACAAGAACTCAAAATTATTTGTATTTCAAAAAATGTGTTCTTTATTAGATATTGATGAACATTCCACTCAAATGAGACCATTTGTGCCTGAAAAAGCCCACTATTTTGGAGCGAAACGTCGCATAAAAAGTTTCCATCTTTCAATTTATTATAAAACCTCATACCCAAGAAAACGAAAAAATAATATATTGATATGGTCTATTAAAGAGGTAACTATTAACATCCGAACCCCTCATACCAACAAAAAGAACAGTAACAACGCGAAAAAGTAACATATTTGAAAATGATGTACAGAAATATCTTATATGTGCGGATATTTCATCTACCTGTGATTTGGATACTATAAATTTGGAAGATTCTGTCAGCAGTGATTCTTCTGAATCAGAGTAGTTACGATCTATGCATTTTGTTGTCCTAATGTAAATTTATAGTATCTTGTTTTTTTTTTAATTAAATATAACATTAATGTTTCTTTTTCATTAAAGAAAAACATTTTTATCTTATATTAGGCTTATATTGTAGGAATCATGTTCTAATGTTATTTCAATTTTTTTTTATCACAGGAATTTATTTAATACTTACACCGTTTTCATACTATAACTTATTATTTGCTTAGATGGAACACATCTCCAACATTATTATTATCTATAAGATTTTTTTTTCATAAACGTGGGACTAAGAACATCATCATTTAGTACAATGAGAGTACTCATCATTTGTGTCAAATAAACCTAGTTTGAATAAATTGCCTACAATAAAAGAGAAGTTTTACATTTTTGTCCTCTAGAGCCATATGTTCGAAGCACTGTGCGCTGACTGGCGAAAATGACGGAGCGTCGCCAACAAAATTTCACTTCGGGTGGAGGGTTTTAACAACAGGGAACATGTTTTCTTCCTTTTTCTACACAAAATCGGTTATACGAACTTTAACATTCTCTAAATATTTAAATATTAATAATTTAAATATTTTATTGATATTGGGTAATTTAAATATTTTATTGATGTGTCCATTATTTTGTTATAATTCGTTTTAAAGCAATGAATAATATCTTCGTAATCCTTCACTTATAGTAAAAATATTTACAATTTTTTATATACATATTTTTTTGGTTAGGTACATTTTTGGGCCATAATACAAAGGATATTAAGTTAATAATTTACATAATGGGGAATTCCATAGGTCCGTTCGGTTATTTGAAAGTTTTATGGATTCGTTTTTATTACGTTTATAAATTTTTATAGACCTTAACCTTAACCTATTGGTGCTGTGTTAAGGATTTTAAAATTATTTTTAGGGAAAATATGACCAGAGTAGAAGTAATTTATATTTTTAAAATGGCTCTATTTTTGTTTTGTGTAGATGACTGATGTTTTGTGAATTTGGTATATTTTTTCCAGTTTATGTAAATTACAAAGAGAATTAATGTAATAAACGTAAAAATAATAGGAAAAATAAAAATCATAAACATAACAAAAACAAACCGATAAAACATTTAAATGGTCAAATAGACGGACGGAATTCATATGCCTCAAATGTGATGAATAATGGCCTCAAAAATATGAATGTCATCGTTCTCGTTAATCGTCACAATATTATAAATATCCACAATTAATTCAGTTTGTTTGGTGATTCTTTCAACTAGAGAAATAAACCAGACTACACTGGCGGGCCGCCCGGAGATGGTAAGGACATGCTCCAGTCTCCGGCCGAAAATCACCGGATGGGGTTTAAACTGCGCAAGTGTTCTTCGCCTGGAGATCGACTATGAAACGGAAAAAAATGCTTATCCAACCGCCCGCCGCGCCGGCGAGTGAGCGGTTACTCTAAGTGTGCGAACACAGTGCAAGCAGGTTTGCCGCTTTCTGGTAGCCAGCGCCAATCTGGGTACCTATTCTTGACATCGTTCGCAACTTTGCGTATACGCATCACGTGTATTGTTATAAACAGGGTATCCCAGAAATAAGTGCAAGTATTTTAAAGGGTGGTAGATCTCGATAAAAGAAACATATTTTCTGTTTATCGTTTTTCAAATAAGTCCAAAATAACGGAGTTATTTTACTTTGAAAATTTCCAAAAAAAATGATTTTTTGCTCAAATTTTGAGAACCTTCTTCATGTGCCTTCTCCTCATCGGAGGTTGGCGACCATCAATTGGAATTCCTCCCTGTCTTGAGCCAAACGGATAATTGCACTTGCCTCTCCTATATTAAACCATGGCACTGGCGCAAATTCCGCATGCAGGAAAACCGTTTACGCCCGATGCCTCGTCGTCCTTCAATCTTTCCCTCAACGATCAGCTGTAGGAAACTATATTTGTTATTTCGAAAAATATGACCAAAATATGCTGCTTTTCGTCGTTTTATTGTAGTCAATAGTTCTTGGTCCTTACATATTCTTTCCAATACTTCGAGATTTGTTTGAGAACCACTGGATCTTTTCTGGATTTTCTTTCTTATAAATTTAATCTACTACCTATGTTGCCATATTATCAAGAAATTATTTTTTTAAATAAAAACTAAAAAAAATTGCAAAAAAATTCCAAAAATATTTTCAAAAAATTCCGAATTTTCAAAAAAAAATATTTAGAAAAAAACCTCATAGGCGTGTTTCTGGGGTTGAACTATACTACCAGTTAAGTTAAAATACTTGCACGTATTTCTGGGACACCCTGTATATGGTTACATAGTAGCGCCGCGCCGCGCCGCCTCGCGCTTATAACCTTGAAAAATTAAAGCGTGTTATCAAATCGGCTAGTTCACAGTGAAAGCAGGTAGGAGCCGTCAACCAGCGTTCATCGGCGTTCTCGCTTTTACCGGAACGAAAATTTATTTATTTCTGCTTTTGCAGGCGCCGACGGCGCACAGAGGGTATTAAGAACTAAAAGTTGGCCAAAATTATGTTTTATGATTTTTTTGCTTTTTTGCTAGTAATATTAATTATTAGAGGAGAGGGTGCTAATATGGAACCTCATTTTGTTTTTCCTACACAATATTTTTTCCTCTATTCTGAAACCCTTTCCACCGATCAAATAGGGCCATTCTGTGCAAAACCAAGCAATTGGATGAGGATGCTAGAACAAGAAAGTAATTTGTATATTATCGACGATATTTGAGCGAGGATGGGTGTTATAGGGTAAAGACTATTTTCTTTAAGAATCTATTTAAATCAATGTTTTTTTGGCAGTGGCAAATATTGGCAAGATTTTTGTACATATTCCAAAGCTGGAGACTTTAAGTATTGAACGGATACTAATTTCAATGCGGAATATTGCCGAATAGTCTTTTAAAAATACCTTATAAAAATGCCTCTGATTTTTTAAATATAAAACATTATAAAGAAATAGAATAGAAGGAAACGTTTCAAAAAAAAATATGGCATAAAACAGGACTTGCCAGCTGGCTCTGTATCCACCATGACAGTTATTATAAACAATTTGCAAAAAAAGCACTACAAACAATTCCACTATTTTATAATCTTAGAAATATTCAGAATACGCTCAAGATAATTCATACTTATAATTGAAATATATTATTTATTTGATAGTCAACTTACGACTTTAAAAAAACTAATAAACGTGCTTACATTTAGTATTTATAGATTTGTATTCAGTTAAGATAAAAAATGAAAATAAAAAAAATATCACTTTTGGCCAGGTTTATAGACCAAATACCCCTATGTGCGGCCCCGGCGCGGCGGGCGCGGCGTTTCAATATGGTTAGTTTAGGTTAGGTTGGTTAATCAGGTAAATTTCCTCTTAATTAGCTACTTCCGAACCCTGCTCGCATCTCCGAAAAAGCCATATAACAATACACGTGATGCATATACGCAAAGTTACACATCACGTGTATTGTTATATGGCTTTTTCGGAGATGCGAGATGTGAGCCATATTTGAAGATGCGAGTGATCAAGAATAGGTGCCCAGAGACGGCGCTGGCTGCCGGAAAGCAGAAACCTGCCTCCACTATGTTCGTACCCTAAATGACGGATGTGCGCACGCGTTACTCGGAGAACGCTCGACTCTGAAATAAGAGCGAAGAATTTCGGGAAAGCTCCCGCCAGCGGGCGGCTGGCTATCGACTATGAATACGGCCGTAAGGCTTCGCTGTCCGTCCGTCCGTCTGTCACAAAGGTCTATCTTATGAATTATAAATTTTTACAGATAACGTATATATGTTGTCGCTATAAGAACAAATACTAAAAACAGAATTAAATAAATGTTTATAAATAAAAAAGTACTTTCACTAAACATTATCTTTTAAGTTAGAATTTTACATAGAATCTTTCAAGTCCTCGGTGGCCGCGTGGTTAAAGCGTTAGGACTTTACGCTGCTATGACGTTGGAGCCGTAGTAAGGCAGGTTCGAATCCTAGTCAAGGCGAAATTTTTTTAATCGTTTTTTTTTTAATTTTTACATATTATTTAGTTTTGCTTTTTACATATTTATTATTAATTTTTAGTAATGTGTTTCTTCATTTTTTTTTAAATTACTTATACGCGCATTCAAAATTTTAGCTAAATCGGAAAAAACGTTTATAATAATATAGTGTCTAATGTATAGATAATGAATGGTAGGGAACCCTTCGTGCGCGAGTCCAACTCGCACTTGACCAATTTTTTATTTTCAGTATTACGATTATGGCAAACACATGTCCATGCTGTATACTTGTGGCCTGGCCACAAGTCTTGTTGTTCAGCTGTTTGCTGGTCATTTTGGAAAAGATGGACCCAAATGGTACATGGTCGGTACGTCTCTACTCAATGGTCTATCTTTGGGAGCAATACCATTTGCTGCCAAATGGGTGGGGATCGGAGGAGTTGTAGTATGCAAGTTGTTCCAAGGAGTGGCTCAGGGAGGTTTTGAACCATTGAGTACTTGTGTAGGTGGATTGTGGGTACCGACTGAAGAAAGAGCTCGTCTCAGTTTTATTGGAGTTGGATGTAAGCAAATAAAGAATTACACAAAACCATTGATAAAATTATTCAGAATTATTATTGCTATATAAAGTAAGACATACTCAATAATTTGCTGTTTTTCTTTCATATTGTGTATACAGGGTGGTCCGAACTGTAATCCGGAAACTTCGGCAGCATATTCTGCAGATAAAATTAAATAAAAAAGTGGCGTATACAGGGTCCGGCAATAGTGCGTCGGGCATCTGTAGCTCCTAGAATAAAAAACTTGAGAATTTTGTTTAAGTGCAAACCTAAAGTATGTACCAGGATGTATTTCAGGAAAATATTTTAACTTCTATAGGGTGGCTCAAAAAAGTGTGAGTGGACCTAGATGATTTTTTTTAAATGGAACACCCTGTATATTTTTGCAATTTTGGTTTTCGATCACTTTACAACCCTAAGATATGAATAAATACATTTCGATAGTTTCAGAGATATTAAAAATAAATCAAAAATATATATTTTCAGCCCTTCTTAAAAATTATTAAAAAGAAGAACTGTTCTGAATGAAAACTATATTAGGTATTTACTTTAGATAGTCTGTATTACTTTGCTATAAATATGAATATCGTAAATTATACAGGATGTTCAAAATTCTACGTTAAAACTTTCTAAAATATAAAATAATTTTTCTTCGTTTTTTAAATGGAAACACCCTGTATATTATTTTTTCAATAGACGGAGAATTAAAAATGAACATTTTTTTGTATTTACAGTATTTCAAAATTTTTAACGGTTTCGCAGATATTTGCGGTTTTATATTTCATATGGCATTTTCCACCAGTAAATTTTTATCAAAGCCACCTAATGATTTTTCTCTCGTATTTTACCATTGAAAGCGCCATATGAAATAATACTGCGTGTATCTGCGAAACCGTTAAGAATTTTGAAATTCTCTAAATACAAAAAATGTTCATTTTTAAACTCTCCATCTAATAAAAAAATAATATACAGGGTGTTCCATTTAAAAAAACGAAGAAAAATTATTTTATATTTTAGAAAGTTTGGCGTAGAATTTTGAACATCCTGTATAATTTACGATATTCATATTTATAGCAAAGTAAGTACAGACTATCTAAAGTAAATACCTAATATAGTTTTGATTTCAGAACAGTTCTTGTATTTTTAATAATTTTTTTAAGAAGGGCTGAAAAATATATATTTTTGATTTATTTTTTAATATCTCTGAAACTATCGAAATATATTTATTTATATCTTAGGTGTATGTAAAGTGATCTGAAAGGAATCCAAAAATGCAATAATATACAGGGTGTTCCATTTAAAAAAAATCATCCACGTCCACCCACACTTTTTTGAGCCACCCTATAGAAGTTAAAATATTTTCCTGAAATACATCCTGGTACATACTTTATGTTTGTACTAAAACAAAATTCTCAAATATTTTATTCTATGAGCTACAGATGCCCGACGCACTATTGCCGGTCCCTGTATGTATTTCTTAAAATACTTAGTTTCGGAGATACAGGGTGTAGAAGTTTCATTTTTATTTCGATTTTTTATAGTATTAGATAACCTATTCTCAAATTTCCCTATTATTGCTTCTATCGAGCGCATCCGACATCAGTCAAAATAAACAAAATATTTTTAACACAACGTAGATTCCTTTATTTCATTCAAACTGTTGTTATACAGTTGACCAAAGTATTACCTATTCAACTTCGTTGAACTACCCTGGGTTGTTATAATACAATTTATATACATTTAAGATATTGATTAAACAACTGTAACAGAAGCGTTAACTAATTTTAGGTGCTACAATGGCCGTTATGCTTGGATCTATACTGGCTGGACTAATATCCAAATCGTCCATGGGTTGGCCATGGGGTTTTTATATAATAGCAATCATTAATCTGGGCTATACTATAATATGGGCTTTATTTTTCCATAACACACCTGAGACTCATCCAAGAATCACCCCAGAAGAGAAGAAATATATTCAAGTGTCTTTAAGTCAACAACCTGGAAAGGTTAGTAAAAGTTTGTTTCAAAAAAATATTAAATAAATTATAAATAAAAAGAAACATATTTAATGGTATAGGCCGAAGTGAATTAGAATACCGGAACTCATTCTTTTGTCCAGACGATGGCGATAATGGCGCCGAGAGATAAAGACAGTGAGTGTCAACTTATTCCAATTGACTTCGGAAAAAATTATGGTATTTGATTTTTTTTTCTTTAAAAAAAATAAATGTTATGTATGGTGTTATGAATGGTGTATAAATGTTATGTATAAATAATATTGTTAAAGATTAAACTTTAATATGTACGTCAGTAATTATTATTGAATTGTTCTTCTAGAATATTCCAACTCCATGGAAGAAAATCATCCTCTCCAGACCAGTGTGGGCTATTATCATAGCATTGATTGGAACCACTTTTACCATGACTTATATGGGTTCCTATAAAGCACTATTTCTATCTGACATAATGAAATTTGATATAGCGGCGGTAAGTCTATTTAAATATTTTATTCGATATTGTTCTTGTGACATTAATAGAAACAAAACTAAACACAGAAGTCCAGCAAACTATAATATCACAGTCTTGTGCTCTACACTTCTTCTTAAGGTGCCATGCAGATTCCTGCGTAGGCGTTCATCTTTTTCTTCCTCATCAGATGGTTCTATTAACTACAGCGACTTGGAGTGCTTGGAACTCTTGTATACCTGTCCAATGACGAATATTTCTCAGCCAGGATAGCTTCTTTTGACCTATTCTCCTTTTGCCCCCCTCTATTTTACCCTGGAGAATCAGACGCCGAAAGTGATAGCGTTCTCCACGTAGTATGTGTCCCAAATAAGCTATTTTCCTCTTCTTGATGATTTCGGAGAGTTCACATTTTTCTATACCAGCTCTTCTGAGAATATCTTTATTCCTCACACGGTCGACCCAGGGCACTCTTAGCATTCGCCGTAGGATCCACATTTCGAAGGCTTCAATTCGGTTTATTGTTGCTACCTTCAGTGTCCATGCTTCCACGTCATATAACAAAACGGACCAGACATAGCACTTCACCATTCTGTATCTAAGGCCGAAGTTCAAGTTCCAATATGTGAGAAATCTTCGCAGTCTCAGAAAAATAGATCTTGCTTGTTTGATCCTGCATTTGATCTCCTGATCTGGATCCCACGTTTCGTTAACCATGCATCGCAAATATTACAATTGTGTGACCTGCTTGATGACTTGTCCATTTAAGTAAATTCTGGTGTTCGGAATATTGTTTCTGCTAACAGCGATAAATTTAGTGTTTGTAGTATTTATGTTTAAACCCAGTCTTTGTCTTTCATTGTTAACCTTATTTAGAAGGATTTGGAGATCATTTGCATTGATCAGTGCTTTACACTGATCTAGATTAAATTCTTAATGTTTGAAGATGTAAAGAAACCTAATTTTTTTAGCTAATGAAAACTAGAGCATTTGTTTTTTCTAGTTGTAATAGATAGAGCACCAACAAGGAATTTTAAAAAAGACAATATAAGCTTATAATAATTCAGTAAGAAATAAACAAAATAAACTATTTTATATTATATTTTAATATAAATATATTTATTCTATTTGACAGAATGGAATTGTACAAGCTATACCAACACTCTGTGCATGCATCAGTGGTATTTTCATTTCATTCCTAAGTGACCTAACTGTCAAACGACGATGGCTGTCTAGATTAAACGCCAGAAGATTCTTTCAGATACTTGGTAAGTTCTTCGTAATAAATTTGTTTAATAATTAAAAACCTTCCCCATTATATGCTCGTTGAATAATATACTATCATACATTCTCTAGGGTGTACTTTTTATGGACTGGGTCCAGTAATAATGTCTTTCATCCCAGCGGCATACAACAAATGGGCTGTAGTAGTCATGTCTGTTCAAGATGTATTTTTGATCGTGTTCATCATTGGCGGTAGTAACATCAACACATTCGAAATATCACCGGTTTTCGCTGGAGTAATCAATGGAATGGCTACCACTTGCGCCAATCTTGTTTCTCTACTAGCAACATACTTATACAAATGGGTTATTAATGATCCGGTTAGTATAATATAGGTATAGTAGTATAATTTAGTTTCTCCTAGTGTAATTTTAATACGTTTAATTGTGCTATGTTAGAAGAACAGGGCAATTAGAAGTAACGATTACTAAATAATACATTATTACAGAAATTAAAGAATACATTAACGTAATATTATCTTTTCTATTAGAGAAAAGCCTTTTGATAGATAATATTACTAGGTTCAGTTAAATTAAATCTCATAGAGAAAATAACTAGTAAGTATTACATGCCTGGCCTGTGTTGTACAGAATTTGGTACAGGGCTCGAATTCTGTAACTTAGGAAACGCTAAGCGGTTTTAGACGCTCAGCGTACATGACGTTAATTTTCGCTTAGCGCGCACGTAACTACCAATTTGAGTATTCTCAACTGACGCCCTTAGCTTGTATTGTAGACCTGTCAGTAAAAATTGAGAAATTTTCGATTTTGTGCGTTCTCTGGCTCTTTAGTGAAAACTACTCCTTCTTTTCTAAATTTCTCAATAAGTAATTGATAATTTACGATTACGACTTGGCAGTTATAAATATTGTTCAAAACATCGAAAATGCTGAGAAGAGTCTTCAACATTTCCCTCGTATAATAAGAATAATGACAGATCCATAGAAAAGTAGGTTTACATAATAACTCAACAATAGGTTATGAAATTCACGTAACATTGACATTTTTCATTTTTTTATCCACATTTGACTATTTAGATGCGCGACCTGAGAAATTGCGATGCTGCCAATATGTGCTCAACGGGTATTCAGAAATTAGTAGTCTACAGCACGAAAGACTAAGAACACTACAAAAAAAAACAAAAAAAAAATACGTAGATTTTAAAGTAACATTTTTTTTGTCTTTTAGGAAAATGTAGCAGAATGGAGGTTATCTTTTTGTATCACTGCCATCATTACCATAACTTCGGGACTAATATATGGCGTTATGGCTTCAGATAAAAGGCAGAATTGGGAAGGCAAAATAGAAGTGAATCCAAACGAAGCAAAGAGACATAGCATCACGAGTATCGAGCAGGCCATTACTAGAATGTAGTTTTTAGAGGGATATTTATTTAGGAATGTTTTTATTACTGTTTATATATTTTACATACCAACAGCCTAGTATTAGCCCTTACGGCTAATACTTTCCGAGATACAGCCGAGAGCTCTTCTTAGAGGGACACCCTGTATATCGAGTATTAAAAAATAATTTTAATACTTAATTTAATCAGAATTTTTTTCAATAAAATATATTTTTATAATGTAAAAAAAAACATCATTTATTTTTGATGATTTGTAATTATTATGTTTTGATTTCCTTTTTTTTAATTTTGTGTTTTTTTGGTCAATTTTATAAGAGGATGATTTATACATTAATACACCGGGTGTTTCTCAAAAGTGGTTCACCCCAATAACTTTGTTAATTTTTCAGATAATAAAACCAAATTTGGTATGTTAGTATATGACATAAATCGGGGTTGGTTGACATATTCAAATATTTTCCGTAGCTTCCTGTCTCACCGGAAATGACTACAACTTCTAATTTTTAAATGGTACCCTCAGTATTATTTCACTTCATTTCATAGAAAATCACATTCTGAATATGACATATCATATGTCAATTTTTGACATTTTCAATTAAAAAAATAGCATTTTAAATTTCAATCTAGTGCCATGGCTGTGTTAAAACCATTAATTTTTAATCAAGGAGCTTTGAAAAAATAAATTTAAAATACTATTTTTTTAATTGAACATGTCAAAAATTGATTTATATACGCTTTCTACATAGAAAATCATTAAATTATATATCAATGGGCTCTTTCACTATATTTTGGAATTAGCATAATTGAATAAAGCAATTAATTCTAGAATTTTCTGCTATCTCACTTTCGAGAAATTTGAAGTCGTTCTTAAGAAAATAAATAAAAACAAAAAAGCCCAGAATTTATTTTTAATACGTCACACCTGGCATGTTGAAAAGCGGCGACACGGCCGGGCCACTATGCTGACCCACCACCATCTCCAGACAAGGCCATTCAACCTTTTCCAATATGGCGGAGACAGAAGTGCTTTATTTGGCGCGTATTTTAAAACCTGTTTTATTTCCAAATATACATTTTTCACACAAATGTCGGGTTAGATTACGTAATATTTCACTAATTTTTTAATATACAGGGAGTCTACAGTTCTCCACATAAGTATGGAATTTTTTGTATTATTACTTTTATGAAAACATCAGTTAGTTACTTTTTATAAATAGGTCTGCTTTCTCAGAAAATCGGTAGTGTTAAAATATACAAAATTGAGGTAGCATATATAGGGTGTCATTTTTGGGGAATATAAAAGCAGAAACCTTGGGACCTCCACTATAATTCCCGTGACAATTGAAAGTGACGTGGAAAAGAGCATGTAAAAGGCATGCTACAATAAAATGTTAATACCTATCTTTTGATTATTGTAAGTAACCATTATAAAGTACTATGCAGACTGGCAGTAAAAGCTTTTTACTCATTTATAGGTGTAATATCTTGATAAATACTTCTAGTTCTTACCTTAAAATAATTAATAATAGAGGAGTACGACAAGCACAAAAGTTTGAAGTTTCCTATGTGGAATGTCTGGTTTTGATTTTTATTACACTGTTATTTTATCACAATTTTCTGATCACACCATGCACTGAACACTAAGAACTAAACAAACCTGTTGCAGAAGCACAACAAACTACAGATAATTAATTATTTCTCTTATGCAATCGGAATGAGAAACCACTACCGGCTTTTCAGGTTAAAGGTAAACAATTTAATAATGCGCTGCCTTCGCCGCCATATTTGCCTTGCCCATATCATGTTGATTCGCCTTGAGTTTAGGTGGTGCTGGTCAAATCAAATCGCAATGTTGCCAGTTGTTGGCTGGCGCACGAGCACGGTTCTGCAATGTTATTGGGAGTATTTTTCATACGTCAACAATGGCACTTTAAAATTATTTCAAATTAAAGCAATTTTGAGGGCCTATAAGAAAATTATTCAATGTCCTGGAACTATTTTTTTTTGGATAAATATACTGAAAATAGTCTTCTATTTCAGATTTTGTCCTTGAATTGGGTATTTTATTTTTTGTGAAAGAGCCTTTATTATTACTGCAATAATCGGTATATTTCGACAAAAAGCCTGTATACGAATATAGTTTATAATATTTCTAAGGGAGAATGCCGAAAATGTTGTAAGTATTACCTGAAAATATACATATATTTGATATCAAAGTTCTACTTACGTAATCAAGGGCGCAATATTTAAATTCATTGTCACCAACAATGGACATATTCAGCACCGGGCTGACTAACTGGAATTTAAATTTCCCGCTAAAGATTCAGGTGGTAGCTCTGCTGTAAAAAATGTCAAGTTGCCACATTTATTTCCTGACATTGTCGTTCGTTTTGACACTTGAGTTTTGTACTACGAGTCTGTGGTTTAAATGAATATTATTGTGATACTTTTAGCTTAAAAATATTTACTAGCAGACATTGCAGTCGAACATAGCTCTTTTTAGAACCTCTTTTAGTGCAAAATGTACAAGATAAAAAAGAAAATCTGTAAAAGTGGGCAACGCTGTGCCGGTCAAGCTTAGTCAAGTGACTAAGTTTATTTTATGTGAAATATATATATAACTACCATGGTACAAAGAATACAAGGTATGATATTGCGCAGGTTGGTCGCTACGCCACAGGATAATAGGCGCTATTGGTCAGCACGCTCCGCGCGCCATGCGCCAGTTCAAATCGTCAAGATATTGTAATAAACCTGTTTTTTTGTTTATATACCGTCATTGAATTATTGCTAAGCAAGTTACTGTAGAGCAGTGCGTAAAGAGTCAGGCTAGGAATCGAGAGACCGGAGTTCGAATCTGGGCCGGGACATAACTTTTTTATTTAATTTTTTAAATACTGTTGTATTCTATAGTTTATTTTTGTAGTATAAAAAAAGAACTATTTATTCTGTTATTTTTTAATCTCCGCTATTAATATACATTGATGGTTGGTACAATATCTCATTTAATATAAAATAATATTCTACTTTTTGAAATGTATCGTTCCCTAATTGTACCTAAAAGTAATATATTTTTACAGTGATATACTATATTGTAAACTATTTAATATTTCAGTCACTTAAAAAGTTAATTTGCATTGAATAATTGCCTACAATTAAAGGAAATTTGATCTATAATCTTTGATGGGCATATTCTGGGTATGCAAATACTTCCTCTAAATTTTGGGTTTCTTTCAACCGATTTATTATCAAAACCTGAAACATCTACATATAAAAAGAAGCACAGCTCACTAATTATAATAAACTTCACCTTTGGAATTACTTTCACTAATTATAATAAACTTCACCCTTGGAATTATTTTCACTAATTATAATAAACTACACCCTTGGAATTATTTTCACTAATTATAATAAATATCACCCTTGGAATTACTTCTATCACAATTACAATACATTCATCTGCATTGGCATTTTCTACTTTTCGATGGGAAACAATCAACTTCCCAACATTTTTTAAATTATGTAACAATTCCTCTTGTGGTTACTTTTCCATAGATATCCTCATCTCTGTCTTCATGTGAATTCAGAGACAATGGACATGAAAATGATTTACCGTAACCATCGCAAACTAAAAACCTAATAAACAATTTTATACCGAATATAGAAAAACATTAAGTATTCTTACCTGTTTATCGTCCAAATCCATGTTAATAGATAATTAATATTTTGGATTTTTGTCTGTTATTTTTAAATATATTTTTGGAACTGCTGGTTTTAGTAATTATTAAATTAAACGAACTAAAACGTCACAAAAAATAAACAATTCTTAACCATAACCCTAAAAAGTACAAAAAATGCAGATCACCTGTCAACTTTCTTTATTTTTTATTTATTCCTTATTTTCCTAGTGACGTCACAGGTGGTATGCGCGAACTGAACGAAATTGGAGCCGCTATCGATCATACCTTGTTTTCTTTGTACCATGTACCTACTCATAGTACACGTTGGTTGTTTAGCAGAGATCAAACTTCAAAATATCAAGAGGCAACTTTGATATCTATAGACAGTATCATTATTAATTTTTTTTAATAAAATAGAGTTTCCATGAGGAGTAATTAAATATAATCTAAAATAGTTTTTATTTTTTTCAAATTTTTAAGAAACTTATTGATTCGGTACTAAATCTAATCTAAAAAAGGAGATCGACAAACTTAAACTTTTAAGGATAGTCGTATTTTCTGAATAGCCTGGGTTAGTAAATCCTACGAACAGCATAGTAACATGAAGTATAATAAATAATGCTCTAATCCACAATTATATCATCTCGATCAATCGAGTAAGAAAGCAGAAGCAAAGCAATATTATACATGAGATGACTGAAAATTAATTCAATTCTGTCATATGTCTCATACCAATTAAACCAGATTATATAGAAAATGTGTCACCTATTATAATGATAGCGAAAAGGGGAAAGATAATGATTTAGATGAATATAGATTTTGTAAATACTCCTAATCCACACGAGTTTTTATTTAATTTTAAACAAGGTTAAATAATAATTTTAAGTACCGATGAATTTAGCGCCATCGTATAGTTAACTGTAAATAACATCATAAATATAAAAAATATATAGGTAGTATTTATTTTTAAAGGGTTACTATTTGCTTTTAATTTCATGTGGTTTACATCTACGAGCCCTAACAACTATATGTTGGGATAAGGTCATATTTTGGAATTATTGCCCTGGTTTTTCAAAATGACTGAAAAATATATGTTTAATTTTTTAAATATAAACATAGCCATATATCCTAAACAACTTGACAATATTTTTATGAATTTGTAAATCAATCCATATTTACATTAGCGGATTTTGTTCATAAAAGGACAAATTTGCTGACAACTAAATGTTGGGACAAGTATTTTTAAATAATTAATATCGTCATAGGCGGCTTTGCTATAAACGTCACAAATCTCGCAAACTGTTTACCTCAGCATTGACAGCTTGTAAGTCACTTGATACTTTGAGTAGTGAGATTTACTGTATGTAATTTTAATTTTTTTAATTTTCAATTTAGTTAATTTAATTCAAAGTAATGGTCCGTGGAAAAGCTACAAATCAAAAACTACGCGAAATTATAATTCGTCAATACAGTATGGGAAAAACAATTCGAAAAATTTCTGATGATTTA